TAATGAGAGATCAAGCTACTTTGTAGCTAACTAACTTCTATACCACTCCACTTGCTCTGTCCAGTTATAATTGTGTCCGACCCGTTTCCAAAGTTTTTTAACTATTTATCTATTTTTATTTTTCTCAGCGTTTGGTGGCTTAATACCATCTACAACTAGTAAATCTACAAGTTCGCTGAAATATTGTTAATATTATGCTATCTACATTTTAACACTGAATCGACCAGATTTTTTTCTTTTCTTTTTCCATTTGGTTTATGTGACGGAATACATCATCGTCATTGTGGTTATCATTTTGATAATAGTCGACCATCAACATATATCATAAGAAAATCCCAAGAATATGAGTTATACCCTTAGATCTCGTGATCATAAAACTATTGGAGCAGAAAAGAAGCTGGATCAGATCTGTAGGTAATATAACTTATAAGAGATTTTGGTATTATTATAGATGACAAGACAAGAAAGTATTTTATTTATTAAAATTGACCATTTTTCGTCGATACATGAATTATATATTATGTAAAGATATGTGTGAAAGGTTGGACTTGGGTATGGGTAAGAGTTAATGAAATGTTCTCATAAGGTGAAGAGTATTTGTTGTCTGGGTGTGAAGCTTTTGGAACATTTACAAGTTAGATGTTTAATTGTAGCTGAAACTCTGCGACATTTTGTAGGGTCCATTTGTCCCAACCACATAAACTAACATCTTTAATGATTTTTTTGTAGGAGATATACGGGAGCTGTTATTTTTATGCAACTAGTTCATTGATTTTGTTAGGAATATGTATGTTTGTTCTCCATTTACTTTAATAAGAGTCAATTCAAAAATAATTTTTGATTTTTATATTGTAGATTAAGTTTGTCCATTTTTTTTTTTGTTTCCTTGCAAAATAATATGCGGTTTACTATTTTATACTAAGATATCCTTCATCGGTCCAATCTGATCTGAAAGTTATTACTCTACCATATGTAACATACTAACATATATATATATATATATATATCTTTGAAAGTAACATATATATATATATATCTTTAAAAGACTTTTAGTTTTTTTTTGTCTCCTCTATATAATTGATTTATGTAAAGGAGGAGCCTAGTTGTATTTGAATATTTTTGACATAGACTGAAATGAGACATAACATATCTCATATTTTTGTTGTATTTGAATGTTTAGGACATAGATTGAAACGAGACATAATAAATCTCATATTTTGAACGACAAACGAATTACATGTTCGACTATCCCAAATAACGTTTAGATCAAACGTCTTATTTAACACGACAAATGATAAGGTCAAACATGTTCGACTTCACGTGATGTTCCATGTATATTTGACAAAATATGTCGACGAAATTTATGGCAAAATTCTTGAATTTAAAGTGTCGTTACAAAATGTCATTATCGTTAGACAACTTTGGTCCGTTTTTGTGTGGCTTCGACTCTATCGACCGTTGCTCCCCACTCGATCACAAGTCTCGATCAGTCATTTTGGTCCAACAGCATTGGTTTGGTTCAATGTCTTATTAAGAATTATGAAAAATGTCAAATCTCTTGTTGTGATGGGTTGGGTATATATATCGTAATGATTTTTCTTGTTGGTTGATGTTAAGAGAACATAGGACGCCCAAGCTTGGAGTATATATAATATAAATTAAATAAATAATAACCAAAATTATTCTTTAATGAAATCATAACTAAATATAGATAAATATTAACTACGTACTAGCAGTGGCAAAAAAACATTTATCAGACCAACTACAATTTTATAGCTTACCAGATTACACTGGTCAATATATATTTTTGGGATTTGTCGAATGATTAAGCCGTAGTATTCAATTGGGGCCAATATCTTTTTGTAGCATGTTCTCGAGAGGAGGCGTCCATGAAATACCTTGTACGGTGGGTACAAGTATTTGTTCTTGCGGATTTTATGTTTGCGCTTGGATTGGTGGAGAATTCAGTGTGATCTCGAGACAGTAGCATGGTCATAGAACATATAGTTACATAAGATCATGTTTCTGTGAAAGATGCATTCATTATACCATGTTTTGAAGTGGTAAGTGTGACAATAATTTAGAACAACAAACATTTTAAAATGTCAATTGGTTTCGCATTTTAAGGTGAGCCAGTCGAATATAATTACAAAATTCATAAAGAAGGTATATATTATCTCAATCATAGACTAGTATTATATGTACTAAAATTTCACAACCAATAAAAATGCTATACAATTAAATAACTTCAAAGAGGGTTAAAAGCTTCCGCATGTGCTTAATACCTTATTACCTACCACCATAACCTGTTTTACTGATAATCAAAAGAACAATTAAGTAGAGCGTACCATATAATATATATAATATATATATATATATATTATATGCATACAAGTACATCAAGTTGCTATATAAGCTATGAACGTAAGTCTGTTGTGGATCCGTATATGTTGCAAAAGAACTACCATCGTAATTTGATTGTGAAACCGTTCATCATAATTATACTGCAAATAGTTAGTTTCGATCGATGAATCATCAATTTTAATTGAATAAAGATTAAAGATATATATATATATATATAAAAAAAAAAAAACTTTTGTCTTAGTAGTATTAAAGATTTTATTATCTTTATTATGCTTTAGTCTATTTTTAGTTTTCAATTATGAAAATAAAGTATGCCAAAATTGTTTTGTTTTTAAAGGTAAAGGAGAGACTACAGTAAAACTTTTATAAATTAATAATGTTGGAACTATAATATTCTATTAATTTATTGAATTATTAATTTATCGATATACAAATCGGTCCAAAAAACTAATTTGGGACTTAAAAAATATATTAATTTATCGAGGTATTAATTTATCAAGTATTAATTTATAGAGGTTATACTGTATATATGATCGATAACACATAAAACAACGATGCGACATCTATTTTGGTGAAACTTTTGGTTTTGTTTAGCTAACATTCGAACTTTTTGTTTTTGTAAAACGACATTTTAGATCATAAAACAAAACAACACAATTCTTGTTTTTTCTTTTTTTGACAGCACAATTCTTATTTTTTTCTCGGGTTACTAATCCTAACCTATAATATTAGAAAAGATGATTCTATTTAAAGTAGAAAAAACTTTATTCCTTGATTCACTAGTCACTACCACCTTTTCATAAACCATTCAAACTTTGTTTTTTTCTTCCCTTTTATATTTCTATAGATTAGATTAATAAGCACACTCGTGTTGGTTGATATAATCCTACTTTCTTCTATAATCGATTCTTGGTGTAGGTTATAGGAAGGCTATAAAGAAGCATGCGTGCGTGCGGTGGCGAGGAGGAATAAAGTAAGTTTCTCATTGTTTTCTGATTTCATTTTGTCGGTTCGCTAAACGGATTTTGCAGCCGGCTTTTTTTTCTTTCTCCTTTATGCAGATGAATATTGTAACTTCTTGGCATTCCAAAAAGAGATTATACATTGGCATAAGAACGAGTTTAGTTATATGGCGAAATCACGTTAAAAAGTTACATGGGTGGTTTCTGATATAAAATAAACAAAAAGAACAAAATGGTATTCGTTTAGAGTTTGTAGAATAAGCCAAAGAAACGATCCAAACAAAGTTGAATAATGACCATAACGAATACAAGTATAGATATAATTATCAATTTTTTATTATTTTGTTACCTTTTTACCATTTGGAGTGACCTAAACAATATTTTTGTCAGCTAGATTGTATAGGTGGATTAAATTAACCCAGGTACAATTATTTCGAAAAATAAGAATTTTTTAGTAGTTCTCAACCGGGCATAAAACCATTTTTAGTTCTGGCTGCGATTGAAATCAGAGTCTAATTTTTTAATCCAACAGCTTCACATGTTTTTGATCATTGTTAAAAAACATGAAAACCTTTTTTTAGAGGTCAGTTGTTCAAAACCTTAATTTATGCATTCAATCAAAACAGCGTGTTGCACAAAAAGTTGCTTTAAAAAAGCTTAAACCATTAATAAGAATTATAATTGTTAGAGAAGGCCTATATATATACTGCTATTCATATGGCTCATCAAACTCTAACGAGTAAAGATCCTCCACTCCACTCCACCCTCACATTGAATTCGACGTAATTATCGTTGGCTATGTTTTGAGGTCGAAAATAATGAGCCTGCTAAGTTTGGTTCACCGCCTAAGTTGGACCGTTTATGGTTCAACAAATAGTTCGGCTCTTTTTACTTAGTTCAAGCAATAAAGTATCATTTAAGCACGGTTAGTTAGCGAATTATACGGTACATTTGGACATTAATGACTTACATGTTGGAGATTCCTACATGTGTTTTTGAACATTTTAGCTGGACCTTGATAAATTCTAAATTTGTTTTTGTGATGAAAAAACAAAGATTGGAGCCAAACCCTACCCAAAAGCTAGCTAGTGTAATCAATCTCTTTGGTATTTGCTAATCTTATCATGTATAAAGTGTAAACAATCTACTGTATGTATTATAGACTTATAATTAATTAAATATGTATGGTTTAGTGTTAAACATGCTATACATGTACATAGTGTATTGGGCCATAGTTGATAGAATGTAATATGAATCTTCCTAAGCTAATAAACCCACACCGTTTGATATAATCTACAACGATATATTTTTCTTCGAAAGGACGTTATATGATGAATGATGTTTATGTAAGGTCGTTTAGCTAACATGAACCCAAAAAGTATTTTGACAAAAGAACCCACTAAAAGATTTTCTATACGATTTTTCACTCGTGGAATGTCCTTTATTCTATGATAAACAGAAGAATATCCAAATTTTCTAAGTATTATTTAATGCAATGACAAGTTGACTACTTATATTTGCTTCGTTAATTCCAGGTAAATTACTTACATATATTATGATAAAATATTAAAAAGCCAGGTCATTATGACTTGGGCCGGCCCAATTTCCCTGAGTCGGCGACACTCTCTCACTCCTTTATAACTAAATCCTCAACAACCTTTCTCTCTCCCTTAACATTCTCACCCGAGACTTTCCACTTATTTACCGAAAAAACCAGCCATTGAGCCTGAAATCCGTCGGCCACCGCCGCACAACCCCTCGCCGGGGGTAGTGCGTCGCATCCACGCGCCGCCGTATAATTCTCTACTGAAGCAACACTCGTGGTCGCCGGATCTCATCCGCGAGGAAGCTTGGTCAAAGCGTCGGGATACCTCCCGCCGCCGCCGCGGGAAAAGCTTGACGGACGACGACCTCGACGAGCTCAAAGCCAGCTTCGAACTCGGATTCGGATTCGGATCCCCCGAGATCGCCGATCCGAGATTGTCGAACACGCTTCCCGCCTTGGAGCTTTACTTCGCCGTTCAGAAAAGCTACAACGACGCCGTTTCTAACAAATCCACAACTTCGTCTTCTTCGCTCTCCGACGGCGATACCAGTCCCCACACCGTATATCGAACCAGTATGTATAAAATCTATATATATATATATATATGTGTGTGTGTGTATACAAATACACGATATGCGAGACTTAATTTTCGAATATCATTTAAATAGGCGATGATCCGCAGACGGTGAAGACGAAGCTGAAGCAGTGGGCGAGAGTGGTGGCGTGCACCGTTAACCAATCGCCTCCGAGATGAAAAAATTGACGGCGTTAATTTAAACGACTGTTAAAACGAAATTGAAACGGCCAAACTGTAGATTGAGCCTGTTCATCATTGTGATATCACACACACACAATAGGAAACTATCAAATGTCTGCAGATTACATTGTCAATCATGTAAAAATATATATAATACGTGATTTGATTGGTTGTTTGATTTTCTGTTAGTTTGTGATATATAATTTTATACAGACAACATAGCATAATTTGCAAAGTATATTCTTAGATTTTGTTGGCGGCTATTTTTTTTTCTTTTCTGAATACTAGCAATAGCATCATCCATGCTTGAATCCTACTAATAAATGACATGAATTTTTGGTAACACAAAATTAAAAATATAATAGTAAGTGACATGAAAATTAATCAAAGGCATTAAGTGAAGCAAATTTACAAATATGAAACTAATACAAAAGTCTATGATTGTCTAAGGCAGTGGAAATGCATCTTAATTATGTGCTGCGCAAAGACTTGAAATTTTGATAAAGCAGATGGTAGCATAGCCAAAGAACTCTATATTTAACATATATATGGTTTATGTCAAATGTATTTACTAAAACATTTTCAAGCCAAATGTATTAGTTAAAGATTCATGTCCCTTTTTTGTGATAGAATGTAAAATTCATGTTTTTGATAAGATACGTGTTTCGACTTAAATAAACCACTTTCTTACCGTATATGCCATGTTCAAAGATGTACTTAGACTAACATATCTTACCAAGGACAGTCATGCCGGTTGCCAACAGTCTTAACTGTCTTCTAGGACTCACCTTGGACCACCTAGTTTACCAACACTCTTGAAAAAATCTCGTTAGAATATTTTTGACTTGAGACCAAAGCTTAATTTAAAACTTGACACATTTGGTTTGAAATTTTCTAATCAAAAGAATCTACATAAGACATGATCACACACAACTTGACACGAGCTGCTAGTCTGATCACACACAACTTGACACGAGCTGCTAGTCTGCTGCAAATTTGGCTACAACTTTTGATTCAGGCTGATTTGCAAAACAGTGTACTCTCTATTTGAAGGTATAAATTAGTATTTGTGTAAAAAGAAAAAAAGACATGATCACACACAAATTCTTGGGTCTTAATTTATAAACTAATAACTATTTGCTTTATACAATCCCATTCCCAGGTTATATATTTTCAGTTTAAGCCTTTGAATAATTAAAACTTATTGTTTTGCTACAAGTAATTAAAACTTTTATATCTAAAAAGCAAACGTATACGTAATAAAGAGATTATTGTATGATTAAAACTTGCTTTACTAAAACTTACTTGAAATATGAACGATTTAAAACACAATGGTTGGAATTTGGAAATGCAACAAAGAGAGTATGAAAGTGATTTCTCACCAAAATCATCTCTGTTTTCTACAAAAATTTTGATGCCTATTTATAAAAGAGAGTTGATGATGATAGTTTTTTACGTGTGATATCCAGTACTGATGGTATCATGGGTGATTTTTCCATAGTGATACGTGTTCCAATAATGATGTTGTATATGCCTGAGTAATCTGCATATAATTGATGATTGTGTCTCCATGTGGGTCTTGAAACGGTGCAATTTTTTTTGTTGGGAATCTTTGTTTTTGTTGATAATCTTGAGCAGTTGGTGAGTCTTGTTTCTTGAGAAGATTTGGTTCGTATCTTCATTTTGTATTCTTAATTTGTATTTAAAGATGGACGATTTCTTGGGATCCAATAAGGGCTTCAAGATCTGTTGAGCCTGAAATCGGAATCAATGCTTGAAGATTTATATGCGAAAGTTGATCTCTTTTCCCTATAAACTCTTAGCGTGTGAAGAGTTGAGATTTTTGTTTGAGCTGTCTCGTGTTTGTTTGAATATTTTGCATTGATCAATGTTTACTGCAGTCAAGTTCGAGAGAAGGGAAATCCAAAAGTCATCATTGGTAGAGGCAAGAGATCAATGAAACTTTTGGGATATTTGACACTGATGGATCTAGTACCATTGATGCTAAAGAGCTTAATGTTGATGAGTTTGTTTTCTCAATGATGACTGCTTAGATTTGTTGAAAGAGGCACATAAAGAAGAGCTGACCACGGCATTCCAGATCAGTTGGTAATTAATTAGTTTTGACTCTAATAGATTCAAACAAGTAAAAAACATTTCAAAAAAATCAATTCAATAAGACCTTGCTGATTTGTAAAGAAAGATAAGATGATGTTGACAACAGATACAAGCAGGGGGAAAACATTGGATCCGTGAATTGGGTATCCAACGGTGGCTACATGATAAGCTCTATTTTATCGGTATCAAAGAAAAGGGGGAGAAATGAGAGATGAAGTGACAGAAGAGAGTGAGAAGTCGTAAATGGAAAGAGAATAAGGAATAAGAGATAGATAATGTGTATTTATTTCATAACTTAACCTTAATGTTTCGGGCAACATTAAATACACTGTAGTTCAGAAGTAAACAACATAGTTCAGATAATAAGACAGCATCAACTATAGTTTATTTAGATATGAAGCCTTCCTCTCACCCAGAGGCACCAAACTCTCTATGCTTGTCGCTTAGCCACTTTCTTTGGAATCCTTCTTCTCCATCTTTCAAGCAACTCGACCTCTCCCAGCTTTCTTCCTGCAAAAGGCTAATGGGAATGCCAGTTTATCACTACACCAAAAATCTTACGGGGAATATTTTCATCCCAGACATAATTTAAAACTAATAACCATATACCAAAGTCCCATATAATGAAAACCCCAAACAAGTAAACGAGTAAAACTAATTATTAACCGAGAACAAGCTAAAGCGTTTATGGGAAAATTGAAAACAAAATCTAGATCTCCCCTTACGAAGCCAAAGTTGCTTGGGTTAATGGAATGTGTTCATATATATATCTTAACAGACCTGGATGATAATGATGATGATGATAAGGGATCATATTGAAGGGGAAGTGGTTGCGGTGGAGGAACCAGAAGCGTTGCTATTTGAAGTCTGCTTAGCCACATAAATTTGCTTCACCTTTGTGTTGTTTTGGAAGCCTCTCTTTCTAACCATGGGCTGGTTTCTGCCATGGAAGCTTGACCTCCGGTTATGCTGGTGTTGATGTTGATGGTGGTGGCTAGACCCACCAACATGCTGGGACGGCATGTTCTTCTCCTGCGAGGTCTGTTGCTGTTGTTGTTGTTGTGGCTTGAAGGTAGGACCAGTTGGATTCTGAGTTTTGCTGGTGTTGGGATCAGACAAGGTGGTGGTCGGCTTTGGCGGTGAAGCAGAAGTGGTGGAACCGTGAGAGTTCAAGGAATCTACCATTGCATCTGCGCCAGTGGATGTTTGGATATTAGGGTATCTGTTAGTAGGAGGAGGAAGCATGTTGTTGTTGAACTGAGAAGAAGGAAGATTATAGCCATCTACTGCTTCCTGCTGTTTTTGAATATGCATTGTTGGAGGACCCGAAAATTGCATGTAAGGCCATTGTGCTCGAACCGGCATCTCCTGAGAAGAAGCCTGACCACACCAATTAATTGAATATGATGTCTACAGATCTACTACTTATCATTGCTGAGATCATTAAGAGAGAGAGAAAGGACCAAATACCTGGAAAGGGGATGGCTCGAACATGGCAAGAGGAGAAGGCATAGGGAGGTGTTGAAGAGACGCAGGCACAATGTTACATTGCATGGAAGCCACATTTGGATTGTTAACATCACCATCTCCTTCAACCGGAGAAGAAGACGCGATTGGGTTGTGTTTCCAATCTGGTTGTTTTCCAGATGGGACGTAAGTTGTGCCCATGAAACTCAACCCTCCATACTGCCCAACAGGTGCAAAATGGTTATAAACAAGCATGTGAGGAGGACCTTGAACGCCAGGAATAGCTCCAGGTGGGGTTAGGAAAGGACCCGTGAAACCAGTAGGAGGAGCATAAAAGGAATCTACTCCTGAATGACCCTGCTGCTGCCATGTCGTAGGTGGACCAGATACTGTTCCTAGACTTTTCTGGGACTGTGATTGGTTTGCTCCCGCGTCATGGTGCGGGCCAAAAGCAAAGATGGGTCCTCTTAGCATGGGGTTCACATCATAGAAAGGAAAATGAGGAGGGCCTTGAGGAAAGTGAGTGATCATTTGGTTTGAGTTGAGTGGACTTGGTAATGGTGGCCACAGAGAGATCGGGGTATCCACTGAAAGATCTGCTGGGAGTGAAACAATGAGAGACTCTTCAGCTTTTGATAGACTAGGCTGCCCACCAACAGTGCCTGCCAAGGCGAAAAAAATTATTTCAAAAAACAAATAATCATTTGAGAATCAGCATAAATTCTATAGAAAGTATATATTACCACTTGCTGATCTATCATCTAATTTTGTTCCTCCGTAAATTTTAGTTTCAGCAGGTAATACAGAGCCAGTACCCAAAGCATTCCCACCGGTTTCATCATTAGTTATGGCTGCAACAGCAATCGCTGAAGCAGCAGCTTCTGCTTCTGCTTCACAAATCTCCATGCCAGCAGATGATGGATTTTGATGTTTATTATCCTTTTCAAAATATAAAGAGCTATCCTGCTCTGCACGCCCACCACTGGGAAGGATAACAGTGGAAGATGTAACTGCGCCTGATATAAAAAAAATATCAATCATTTAAATGCAAAAAAAAAAAAAGACAGTCACTTTAGACTTCATAGTGACAATCGAGGTGTCTAAACCATCAGCTCACCAAATTGGATTTTGCCCTCAGCAAGCAATGATTTTACTGGACTTGTACCGCTTGGAAAAGTATTGTTCTTTGGCACAACATATGCTGATTTTGGATTTGGTCGACTAATTTGGTTGGCACCACTCTCAACAGAAACACATGTATGATGATGAGATACGGTTTTAAGGGCTTCATCAAGCTGACTTTGGGTTAAGGCCATAACCTACAAGGTATTACCAAAAAGGCTTTAGATAATCACGTAGAGATTAGAAGAGCATGCATAAAAACAATTTTGATATTTATCCGCGACGATTTTTTTGTCACAAATTCTTATAGCTTCATGTTTCCAGTAAACCATGCTATCAATTCAAAAAAAGAGTTAAAGTCTGAGATGCAAAATGGAACACAGCCGTTAAGAGAAATGAAATTATTTTGCAGAAACATTTTTTGTTGAATGTATGTTCCTGATTTTTTCACACATAAACTCAAGTCAGAACAAGTCAATAAAATTTCAAACAATATCTACTCACAGGCTTATCGTTGAGTTGGTTACCCCAAGTGCCCACAGACGTTTGAGTATTATCTAGAACCTTATTTTTAATGTTGGATACGAAATTTGACGCTGGATTCTGATCATTTGGAGGTTTAAATGGAAGAGCCCTACTTGCCTGAGGGGACCTGCCAAAATGAAATAGAAGGTAAGAAAACATAAACAAAGCGGAAATATATATGCAAACACATGTCATGCATTTCAATTGATCAAATAGAGGAAAGTACTTGCTGCTCCCAGATTTTTCATCAGCATGGGAATTTGCTTTTGGGGCAGGTGTGCCAATTGGAGCTAACAGCTGTTTGTTGAAGACATGATTAAACTGCTTGTTGTTTGCAACTTGGCTAATTGGTGGGTTTCTATTGGACTTGACAACAACAACATTGTTCTGCAAAGTTGAACGAGATTTTCGGGATGCCTGTAAGAAAAAAATATTCACTTTTAATGACAACTACCTCAGACTAGGTAAACAATCTACAAGTAGAGTTGATGATTTAGAATGTATCAGAACCTTAGATGCCAAAGACTTTTCCTTGATTTCTTTTTCCTTCTGTTCCCGACGATCATTAAGCATTTGCCTTTTTGATCTTACCTCAATAAAATCATCATCATCACTAGGAGCTTCAATGCCTTGTTGCTCAAAGACACGAACGATTCCACTCTGCAAAGGTGCATCAATTTCTTTTTCAGATATTATATTCCTTTTAAGATTTGTCTGTCCAAAATTTGGAACAAGTGGATTCTTCACGACAATATCTTTCCCATGTCTACTCTCAGATGAACCCCCAATATTGGTTTTGTGCACAACATTCGAACCAGACACTGAACTATCTGAGGCTTGTTTCTGGGATTTGTTGGACACAACATACTTTTTACTCCTATTTCTTGTGGAATTTTGTGCCCTTCCATTGCCATTTCGATTCTCTTCAGAAGATGGCCAGTTTGATTCTCGAACTCTAAATTCAACCATCTGACGTCGATATCTTCTATGAACCCCAGAATCTGCCCGAGAAACCTCAACAGTGCCTGATGAATGTGCAGTTGTCTCAGTTTGGTCTTGGAATCCTGATTGTCTTTCAGCTAAATTTGATTTTCCTTGACTCGTTTTTCGAGAAGGTAACTCCGACCTACCAGGCAACTCCCCATGCTCTTGAAGTGGCAAAGCAACCTCAATGCTCGCTTTTGGTGGAGAAACATTAGCATTCTTTAGTTTGTCCCCATCAGAAACATTGATTGGTCTCCTAAGCACATTGATCTGAGGATTTGAGACAGAGGTTGCATTTCTAGTAACCAGATTTGCTGAATTTCCTTGACCAAGCTGAACAGTTGCCAAAGATCTAGGACTTTGATGTAAAACATCTGAATGAGGTGGCGGTGGCAACACCCCTTGGGATATTGGGGATGGATATTGTACTTGACCAAACTGAATGATAGGAGAGTGGGGCTGATGAAAATGTGCAAGCGAAGAGCCAAATTGGGGATGAAGAGGAAGAGGCATTTGGATGGAACCGATTTGTATTGCAGGGAAAGGAGAAGGTATCAGCGATGGAGCAGAAAACAAACCAAACTGAAATTTTACAGGCTCCTCCATCTGTTTTGAAGTAGAAGGTACAGGTGGAATAGCTGTCTGAAGAGGTGATGGATGCAGACCAATGCTATGAGGTAGTGCGACCGGATGAGTAGAAACGACATAGTTACTCGTGGAGCCCTCTTTATTGGCCAACTCAAATGACTGCCGACCACTATTTGGCTGAATTTTCAAGTTTTCCATTGTGGTTTCAGTATCCTGAAAACTCTTAGATGTATTATGCCTGCTCACTGGATCAGAAATTTGAACAGATTGGGCGGCTTGTTCACCACGGCTGGTCTCAATAGAAGGTCTTTCACCATCTAAAGAAGTGACAGAGTGCTGAGGAAGTGGAAATGCTGGTTCAGGATTCAGTTGACGATTTTCAAAGTCATCACTGTGTATTTCAACCTCCACTCCTTCATTAAAGCCTAAGACTAGGTTAGAATCTTTATCTTGGAGATGCATTTCTTCCAACTCTTGGGCAAGATCTATGTTCTCATCAACCCCATGTATTATATCCTCCTCTTGATATCCAACTTCATCGTATTCTTCTTGCTCCTGCAACCGTTCATTACTGTCAAGAGTCCACTCTTCATTATCCCAACAAGATACAGAGCTTGTAGCAATCATCAAACTATCCTTTGCAGCATCACCAGAGATAATTGGCGCTCCCCCCTTATCTAGTAAACTAGCATCTTCTCCTTTTCTGGAAACAGCTAAGACAGACGAATCTGCTGATTCATCTAAATCATCATGAGAGAGATGAATAGGAGAATCAGGTGGGCTGGTAACAGAAAGTGAAGACTGAGAGTCACATCTTCCAGTAAGTTTGTTATCGAACCGATGATTACCTACACCACTTCCCGACCTCATATGATGATCTTGAAGATCCCCTATATAACTGGCTAGAACAGTCGAATTAGTCCCATCAGAATCGCTATACTTCATCCCTCCAACAGAAGATGAGGAACCAGGGTTCTCAACGTCGCTCCTAAAAGCCGACTTCTGCCTAGGCTCCTGAGGAGGGGGAAGAACACGTGGTTGCCTTACTGAATACCTTGGTCTTCCAAAAGGGTAATAGTCATCCCCCTCAGGATTCTGATACAACTTTTCAGGATAAGGACCGTAGGGACCATAACGTGGAGGGCCTTGGCTTTGTCCCCATCTCGGATCACCATATTGCTCTCTAAAACTTTCACGAGATTCAGATTCCATCCCATAATTCTTACCTGTGGGTCTTCCATCTCCAGGTATTCTCCAACTCTGATCAACTGAATGCTCTGGGAATCCCGGTTTGAAGTATGAATTGGCATTGAGATAACCAGTTGTCTCGAAGAATTCTTCCTTGGGAAAACCTCCACCCGCATCTCTTTGTGGGCTATGTGGAACATTATCCATGTTTTGCAGAATAAACCGTGAATTGCCTTCACTCTCAATATCTTCTTTTCTCCAACTTGACTTTTGTCTATCAGGGAACCCAAAAGAACTATCTCTAGAAAATTGAGGCGCATTGCTCTTAAATGATCTAGTGGGTACTGATACATCTGAAGTTGATGACGTAGTAATTCTATCCACCATTCTTTCGCTGTCTTCCCAATCAACAACATCTGCAATTTCTTTCTCTTTAACAATATCTAAGAATTTATCCTCTAAAAAAGTTGAAGAACTGTTGCAACCTTTGGCAGCTTCAGCCTGTCTCCTGGAAATCTTTTCTTCCAGTTCGAGAAGCTTTTGCTTAGCAGCTTGCTTCCTCCTTTCTTCCTCCATGATCAACTTATGTTTCTCTTCTTCTTTCGACTTTCTCAAATCTTCTACCCTCCTTGCAGCCTCTAGTCTCTCCTGCTCGTTTCTGAAAGCAGTTTCTCTGGCCTCTTCTTTTAATTTTCTCTGCTGCTCATCTTGTTCGTGAGCCAGACGCAGTCTCTCTTCTTCTTCTGTCCGAGCTAGTTCAATCACCCTTTCTTGTTCCTCGATGATCCGCCTGCGTTCTTCTTCCTGCATCTTTTGAACCCGCTCCAGTTCAGCCTCAAATGACTCTCGGACAGGATCACGAAACTCCGTTTGCTTAAAAGCCTCTTTCTTTTTCTTAGCAACACCAAGTACTGGGAATGGATCATGGACATCAAAACCAGAGTCGCCAAAGTCTTTCATAAAAGGATCTTCCACATGAGATTTGTCACTCTTAAAGAATGGGGATTTATCCCTGCAAGAAGTAAATATTAAAATCATTAATTAATAAAATTGTGGCCATGAATATTTGAGTAGTTTTTCGATTTTGGATTTTGGTTTTAGTTTTTAGTGTTCAGATTATGGTTTTTGAATTTTTGGTTTTTGATTTTACAATAGATTTTAGTTTTTCTAAAACATGAATGTTGTTTTATTTAGCTTTTGGTTTTTATCTCTCTCCATATATGTATATTTAATACAATCTATGCTATAAAAGAAAAATCTCAATTTTCAATTACCAAAAAATTATATATATAATATGTTTGTTCTATACTGTTTTGTTATAAAATTATTATAGATAAAGCTTTTTAATGAGTTTTATATTACTATAACATAACAGCTCACAAAATTTTATAAATAATAAAAAAAAACTTAATAATAAAAATAGTTAACTTATGAATAAAAAGCTGATCTACTTATAAGTTTAAGAAAGATTTTGATTAACATGAGTTATTTTCATATTTTTTAAATTACATATTAGATGTAAAAAAATACTTTGTTATTTCCCTTTAATAGTTTGGAATAGTTTTTATTTTTTTATTCAATTTTATCTATTTTGTGTGTTTTTATTAAAATTTATTGATAATTTGTGATAAAAAAAACTAAAAAACATAGATTTTGGTTTTTATTTAGTATTGAGTAGTTATTTTCATAATCTAAATTTTCTTAAATCTATATTATTAAAAGAGAATGGTGTTTTGTGTCTAAACAGAATTTTTACTTGGTTTCCTAATATTCTATTTGTGGATAACTGTTATTTTTGTTGTAAACAAATATTGATTTTAATTTAAATTTACCAAATCAGTTGATTTAGTATAATATTAATAAAATAATATATTTTTAATTTTTATTTTAATATAAATCCAAAAATTTAGTTTTTAATTTAGATTTGTTATAGATTTTCTTATATATAAGTTATATTATCAAATAAATTAATTTAGTGTAATATTAATAAAATAATATATTTTTAGTTTCTATTTTAAGATAAATTCAAAAATTTAGTTTTTAATTAAAATTTGTTATAAATTTCTTTATATATAAGTTTTATTATCAAAAATTATAAAATAAATTATTATTATATTGTTACAAAAATAATAACCCACATTAATTTAGATTTAATTTAAATATTCAAACTCGAATAATATTTTCAATGACAGAAATAGAAATGATGTATTACTGTATATTTTTTATTAAATAAATCTAAAATTTAAATATTTAAAATTAATAAATATTAAAAATTTACAGACAATATGAACGAACATGTTAAATATTTTCATAATCTTAGTTTTTTTTATTATTATAAATGAGCATGTTATAATGATGTCGTTTAATTGTGGTACTTTTCAGATTAATATGAATGGACAGGTTAAAATAATATTTTTCTAATCGCGATCATATATAATATTAGAAAAATATATCAATAAAAACAAATTGTATTTAAACAGAAAAATTGTTTTTCATCACTTATTAAAAAATCATATATAAACAAAAACAAAGAAAAAAATTATATTATATAAATAAAAATAGTTCCCATCTAGTTAGAAAATTATTTTTGACCAATATCTTGATTGGGTAAAAAATTGGTTTTTTGAAAGACAAAAACTACAAACTATTTCAAAAACCACAAACATTCAAAGCCTATGTCATAAGAAGTAACCAAACCTCTAGAAACAGAACTATACTGGAAAGAGTTAGCTTCATACCTATTATGTTGATCAATTCCAAACCCATCCCGGGTAAAAGCTCCCCTGTTGCCGAAGTTATCCATATTATTATTCCATGGTTGTCTTCCTCCCTGTTGATATGGAACCTCTCTAGCTCCAGTATTATTCCAAACATTTTCCCTTGATCCGGACAAGACGTAGTTACTTTTCTTAACAGCGTCTCTGCCCCTACTAGACGGCCTTGTCCCATACGTACTTTTATTGTTAGTTGAAATTTCACTTTGGAGCGGTGCAGAGACTCTCCAAACATTTGCCTCCCTTCCTACTCCACTGACTGGTCTTACTTGAGTCGAGGAAGGTTTAGCAATATCACTTTCACGCGGTCCTGATTTGTCAAAAAGATTAGGAGCAGCATGCTTTTGGGGCAAGACATGAGGTCTCTGAAGATCATAACCCCTATCCCAATATGGTTCATTCTTCGAATAACTATGATCCCTGTCCCGGTCTCTTAAGCCATGACTTGTGTCACGCTCATCATCAGCCCAATCAGATCGTGGGGTCAAACGAACAATAGGCAATGGCCCTGGAAAATACTCTTTTTTCCTCACATGTTCAAATGAATGCAAACCATCTGCAAAAATTGGACTCTCGGAGAGCTCATTACCAAGCCGGCTAAGCCCAAACTGGTTTTGAGGTCTCATGTCTACGAGTGAATTGCCGATACTAGAGACACTCCTCGGCTCTTTTGAAATCTCTTCACTTGCACTTTGCTTCTGTTTCTGATTCAAAAGCTCCTTTTGTTTCTGCCCGGACACAGAAGTTGAAGGCAGAGAAGCCTTGAGCGACGGAAAATCTTCACCCTTCAAAGTAGTAGCTTTCTCTACAGGACGATAAGCCCGCACCAACGGTTCAGCAAGGGGCATATTCAACCCATTACTCCCCTTAGTAACACCTTCAACGCTATGATTGGCACCATCACCGTCTTGCAAAGCAGATGTAGTAGTGGCAGGCTTACTCCATCCCATTCCAGACGATGCAGGTCTAGCTCCACTCCCAGAGATTCCTCCACCAGAATGAAAGCTCGAACCAGATGAATCAACTCGCTCATGCTCCTTACGAAGTGAAGGTAAGTTCAAGGGTGGTGGAACAGATAGCTTCTGGCCAGCGTTCTGCGAGCTTCTTGGCCGTGAAAGGACCATCATACTTCCTTCTCCACCGCCTCTCCCCCGGTTTGCCCCATAACCTCCAGATTGATTATACTGATGATGATGAGATTGAAACCCATAAGACTTGTTCAGATTCACAGACGCGTACTTGTTTCCTTCTCCATGATTAGCCATATCTCGCTTCCGCCGATCACTGAACATCGCCAACGCATCAAACCCTAAACTGGTTCCCTAGTCAAATTCGTCTGTAGTCTATTGCCTCAGTGACGAATGATCAAAATGGAAACCCAATCGAAGAATCTCCCCTGATCAAAATACAAAAAACAACAAAATTCAATTCCAGATTAGATCCTTGATAAAACCAGCGTCAAAGATATAACCAAAAAAAAACAAAGAAAAAAATGGCAAAAAAAAAAAACCAAGCTGAGGCACAAGAGATAAACGTCAACTAATTACAAAACCAACTTCAGAGCTTAAAGTTTTAGCCAAAAAAAATAAAACAAATTCAGACCTAAAAGAGTTGTTTATATTAGTGTATCATAAACCCAAATTAAGAGCCATTTTACAAAGATAGGCGCTTTAAGCCCACAACCAATATGACGACCATAAGCCGTGCACACTAATTTATCCATCATTAAAAACTCAAAACTGAGTGATTTATCTAAATGGCGTATGTATTTTTTGATAACATATGGCATATATTTAACTGAGTGGGTTGTGGCATTGTGCTATTATTGTGGACAGTATGCATCGTAATCTGAATTCAGCTATAATAATGTGCATGTATGATTTGTCGATAACCAACAAAAAGTCATTATGAACTGTATATGTGAAAAATGTTTTGAAGATTTGAGGTTAGACTAAAAAGATGCAGAGTTGTGGTCCTTCACTATAATAAATATGATAAAAAAAATACGACATTTTTGTCGCATGGACTTTATTTATTATATTTGCGGTTTGATCTGCGTCACATGAATTTGAGTGACTAAGAACCCAGGCTCGAAAAATCACCCACCTAAGCGCTAATCGGTGGCAACCCGCCGCGATTTAAGGCTATGCGATCAGCGTAGACGGATTCAAAATTATCCGCCTTAAAACCGATTTTTCAAAATAATCAGTGATTAAATTAAAAAATCGGAAGCTGATGAAGACAGTAGGCCCCACTGGAGTGGATTGCACACAGATATTCTAATGGCCCACAATTTGGTGGCGAATTCAGTATTCAAGAAATTGATGAAGACTATTATTTATAGTGCAGCTTCCCCTTCTAAATTCTCCCAGTTTCTCGATGTGGGACAAAAGAAAACACATATCTTTTAAAAAAATGTCATGGGTATTGATGGGCTTGAATTAAAAATATGGGTCATCAACACACAAATATGTGCTCTAGTTCTACCATTATGCACGTATCCAGGACAAACTTTAGTCTTTTTATTTTTGGTACCATATTAAAATAATCATCTCCTTTTAGCCCATTATTCTCAATTTTCAGCATTATTACCCAATTATCTGCCATCAATCAGTCAACTTTGTGTATAGTAACGATTAATTTGGTTCTTGTGCAATTGTATAATCAAACATGGACAAAACTTTGAACTAGACAAACATTCAAAACAATGAAAGACTTATTACTTTGCGAGGAATTCGTTACAAATTTGTTAAACACAATTTAAAAATACACACTACTTTTATACTCTCCAAGACTCCAATCGATGTTGAAAATATCTGACGTACGTACTCATGTTGTCCAAGCAAAACCCTTTGAGAATCTCTTCGATAAACTGGTTTTGTTGGTTTTGTTGTTGGCAAGAATGCCCTTCCAGTGATCAACAACGGCTTTCGACTCAGACCGGATTTTAGGGTTACCGTTCTTGGCGAGGAACAGAAGAGCACGAAAGGCATCAGTTTTGGTAATAAGCCGAGGAGTTAGAGGCAAGCTTCGCATGATTCTGAGAATCTCGACGCATCGTATGGCTTCAGGAGAGGCGACGTAAAACCCTTTGTCTCTAGCAACATGAGCGGCTCTTGTAGCTACGCTAATCAGTTCTTCAAGGTCTTTCCTCTTTACCGTTCTTCTCTTTCTGCTTCTTTTCTTCGCACCTTTTGTAATTTCTGGTGGAAAATCATCAGGAAAAACCATCGTTTTTAAAAAGAAAAAAAAAACAACACAGAGAAAAGCACTGAAGAGCTAGAGAGAGAGGGAATGAGTAATGTTGCAATAGAGGAGATCACCACTACTTTGATTTATTTATATATAGACTCTTAGATGGAATTGGGTTTCGAAAAAAGGAAAATACGAGAAAAAGGATTCACATTTTTTTTTGGGTCGGGGTGATTAAAATACGCCGTTGATTTCCTTGATTGTTCGAGATCATCAGTCATAAAATTTCCTTTTTTCTGTTCTGCTCAACAAATACATATAGCTTGTCGGTCAAGTCTAAAAGCCCATTAAACTAACAACCCTGTCCCAAATTTTTACATAGCGCGGGTGATGGTTTTGTGAAGTCGGGGATTCGATTTGCGTTTGTAATAGCGATTGTGTTTACAATAGCAATCAATTATTGATTGATATATCGCGTTAGCGTTTTTGGCCATGGGAGATATCGAAGTTAGGATCTTCTCCATCTGTTGAATCGTGTGTTTAGGGTTCCTATTAATTCCTTGACTGATTTCGTTTCATATATACCAGACATTCCCCTTCTACTTGAAGCATGTCGAGAACCAAAGAAGTTTCTTTTTTTTCTTTTCTTAATTTTTTCTCTTCTTATGGTGATTGTTACAGAGAAGAGGATAAGCTATTAAGCTTAAAGAGAATTATTACTTTTATGTAGGGTACGGTGATTCATCGCTTCTACTGTAAGAAAAAAAAATCATTTACACAAAAACTAATTACTGTTCATTGCTTTTATCAAGAAAACTTAAGAGAAACCCACTTACAATCCTACGAGCTATTGGGTTGGGAATCTGTCGACACAAACGTCCGTCGATGTAAGCAACGATACCTGAAGCCAAGAAATTGTTGATGTATTGTGTTGACAGAGTTGTGACTGTGACAACACAGCATAAGGAAGCAAGCTGCTGCAACACATATTATGTGTCTGATTCATCTGAGCTCCATCAAGGCGTTAGAGGTCAAATCCCAGATTGATAACATTATGCTGAGGTTCTAAAACTCAGTTACAAAGGGAGAGATTGAAAGTGCGGTTGTCACTGGTTTATAGAACCTTAGTATCTCAAGACGAGAACTATGGTTCATGGCTTCAACAATGGTAAAGCTGTTCCAACAGGTATCACAACATTTGGGATAATTCTGATGAAACTGTTAATGTGACAGAAGCACAGCGCATCTGAGATAGAGACTAAGTTGCAAAGTGAGCACGAGTTCTAAAACCCAGGGAGAGATTGAAAGTATGCTCCAACTGGTTTTAATTAGACTCAAGATAAAGATGATGGTATATGTCAAGATGGTATGAATTCGGGATGTGTTACACGAGCTGAGATTTAGTAGAACAAAGAGAGATGTCCAAAGTCTGAACGTGCTTCAACAGTGAAGACCAGAACCAGTACATGAAGCAAAGCAAGACCTGTGAGTTTATCTATGATGATAGAGCTATTGAGTCTGTGAGTGAAACAGGTGTTGCTGTGGAATGTACGCAAAGCTGATCAAGCCAGAGGTGATAAGGAAGCTGAGTAAAACCTGAGTGTCTATCATACAATGACAGAGTTATTACGTCTGTAAGTAGAACAGGTCTACTACACTATGTTCACGAAGCTGATCAACCAGAGTTGATGTAGAGGCTGAGTGAAGAACAAGAACTGTTTTGCGTGTCGCAAGAAAGAGTTGCTACAGAGAGACACATATATGCATTCAGATTGAATGAGATGTCTTGAGTTCCGAAGCAACAAGAAATGTTAAGCGTGAAGATGGAAGTCTGAGCTTCATATGGAAGTCTCATGTCTCATGAAGTGAAGAGAAGGAAAGTCTGCAGTCATGCTGGAACAACAAAGAAGTCGTTGGAACAAAAAGACTGCAGAGCTGGAACAAGCAGCAGAGACGGGAATGTCTTGAGTTGCAAACGCTACAAGTGACGTGGCAAATGAAGAAGAGCTAGCTCACACAAAGGTCAAGGGTTGACTAGGGTTTGGGGTGAGGCTCTGAGTATAAATAGAATAAGGTGGTGTCCAAAATAAAACACACACCTAGAGTTCTGTTGTTGAGAGACACACATGTTGTGTGAGTGGTGTTGTCCCACCAAGAGAGATTGTAAGATCTGATGGTGGTCCTTAGTAGAGCTACATCTAGCAAATGGTTTGCTACAGAAAGGGTGGTAGTGTCTATGGAGATCTTAAATCTAGAAAAGAGTGGTGGATTCCATATAGAAGTTGTAGGTTGCGGCATTTTCTAGCAAATCGATTCTGGACATGGTCCTAAGGATGTAGGTTAAGACTGAAGCCCGTTAACAAATTCTATGTGTTCTTCCTTTATGCACTTTCTCATCTATTATAATATAATGTTCAGTTAGGATCTAAGCCAAAAATAGGGTTCCTATGTTTTTTCAGAAATTGTCAATACCAGCTTTTCACATAAACTTTATCTTCTTCTTCTTCTTGGCACTAAGTACCGGTACGATTGCAGTACTTGGAATCAGTACTGTCATTAGTCTCGGCCCCTGCTTCTTCTTTCTTTGGCCTTAGACCTGAAATGACATCGCAATGATGTAATTAAACTGACAAGACTGTCAAATATACGAAGGTCAACGGTATCATTATTTCTCTTATACCCAATCTTGAAAGAGGTTTCCAAATTGAACATTGCTTCGATTAAACAAAAAAGAAGAAGAGGACCATTTGCACCACCAATACTAAAAAAGATTAGACGTTTTGAGAGAAACAGAAAAGATTACAGCTTTCCAAGTCCAAAATGTTTGCAAACTTAACCTTCTCATCAAACATTTCCTTGGCCAAAATCTTTACTTCAGGTTGTGAGAAATTCCTTTATATATCAGGCAGAGCGGGAAATCAAGAGGACAAAGACAGCATAAATTAAAAGTTTTATTAAATTGCAAAATACATTAAATTAAACAAAACTTAGTCAAATTTCTCTTATGCCGAAAAAACCAATAATTTAAATTTGTTCTTTTTTTATCAAGAAATAAACTATTAACTTTTCCTTTTACTAAAGGGATTAGCTTTGCCAAATCCGTTTCCTTGATGGAGTTTGCTGTTCAACAAACCGTTACTTGCGTCTATATATAAATGCATAATACATACAACAATTGAATAACATCATATCAGAGAAAATAATCACATCTAAGTAAACACATAAGAAAAACCCTAATTATTTCGTATCATCATGGACGGCTTACCTGGGCATCTCCTAGACATAATTCTATTCAGGATAGATCCCAGATCTCTGGCGATTTTGCGATGCACAAATAGATCTCTCAAATCGCATATATACGACCCGGTTTTTGAATCTGAGTTTTTTTCTCTGATCAGATCCGGTGTGCTTCATATATCCACCTTCGGCTCAACTAAGCTCTGCTACCACCCTCACGGCGATTCTAGGTCACTGAGAATCAAAGATACTGCAATGATGTGTCATATCTTGGGCTCTTGCTCTGGCCTTCTTCTACTCTGCATCAAGGAAGACCTATGCGTCGCAAATCCCCTTACGAAGAAGTTTCAATTTTTGAAACCCTCTTTGTTCATGAAGAGTCGAGGACTTTTTCGTGGGGTTAACACAGAGCACATCATGTTATGGCCAAGACTTGTTCGTCACATCGGGTTTGCAGTTCATCAAATTGATCGAACCACGTGGAGTTTCAAAATCGTCCACATGATTCAGGAAGATGAAAAACCCGATAAAAGGAGGTATAGCTTTGAGATTAACGCGGGAGATTCATGGAGACGTTCGAAAACGACGATTACTTGCGACTCAAGCAATCTCGATGAGCGTATAAGAAACCCTGTTTTCTTCGACAGATCTCTTCACTGGCTAAGAAACGACGGAAGCATAGTAGCTTTCAACCCCGAAACAGAGCAAGCACGACTGGTTCCGATCAAATTCCCCGAGGGAATGAGTCTGAAAACGCTCTTCGCCGCAGGGGATATTAGCCTATCTTTGATATCGGCGACGAAGGAAGCCATTTATGTTTATGCCCTTGAGAATATTCTCAGTGATGATCCCAAGTGGGTCGTCGTCACACAAATCAGGAACGTACTGCTCAATGCAAACATGCTTGGTTATTGGAACCTAGAGGCTTACGACGGGAAGCGTCTAGTGTTGAGGGAAGATAGGAGGGTTAACGAGGACCGAGTTTACTACCGAGTGGTTCATGTGTACGACCTGAGTGCTAACAAGTGGGTAGTTTTGGGTTCGGTCCCAACGTGGGCCGATGCACATCGAAATATTTTTCAGTTTACACCTTCCTTCTCTTCTGTGGTAGGACTTGATCAGAAATTGGCTTGTGATGATAAGCGTATCTCCTCCCTAAGCACGATTATGGCACTGATTGATGATGGAACCTCATCAGAAGAAGTGGAGAAGCAACTTAGGAAAAGATCGGTTGAAGCAGAAGAGAAGAGAGTGGTGAGGAAGAAGCGGGAAAGCAACTTAGAAAAAGTTCGGTTGTGGACAAATTCGTATGATGTTTCTTTGGTTTATGAACCATGCGTTTAATGTTTTTGTTCTCTCATTTGTTATTAGTTTTTTTTTTTTTGTTAAAGGTTTTATAAGTTTTTGTATGCTACTTGAACTTTATTAATAAGTTTGCTTAAAATTTGTCATCCATGGGTTGCTGAAAATCCCTCAAAGATCTTAAAACTTCAACGTTCGATAGCCACCGGTTTGTTAATAATTATAATAACATATAAAACGGTCCATGACATATATATATATATTCATAGCTATGTTTCTAATGATATATATTTTTGTTTCTTACTCGCTTCTTCTACTAGCTATAACAAAATATTTATTAGTGAAGTGAAAAATGAGAGAGAATGGATTAAAAAAAAATAAGAAATTGCAATGATGTAATCTTGTGGTATTGCTATTCTTGTTTGAAAACAAAAACAAAATCATCTCTCTTGTTAATCTTAAGAGTTACTCTCTTTTTATTACTTGAATAAAGTTCATGATAGTTTGACAAATTACTCGTTTTAGTACTTCAACAGATTTCTCGGTAGCACCATAGAATAATCAATCAAACTTAAAAATAGAAAATGAATTTATAACAAAACAATTATACTTCGTAAATCGTAAGTTCGTATTCTTCTTCTTCTTTCTCTTACAGCTATAATTCGATTTCATCTCTAAAAACAATCTCTGGAAAATCTCCTCCGAGATAAATGGTTCCAATTTTGAATAATCTATATATGGAATATAGACACCATCGTCTCCAAAATCCACCAAACGAGAATCAGCCTAAATTATTTCCTTCTTGATTTTTCTCCAAATGCATCGTAAGGTTTCGAGCAGAGACGTCAATAGCCAGAGATTCACAAAACTTAAAAACGTAGAAACCGATCCAGATCCTGACATTTACGATATTACATACGTCGATGTTTCTCCCTCTGAAGGCTCCTCTTCTCCTTTATCCAAATCACCATGGTCCGTTCAAATCGACGCCGCCGACGTCGAACCACCACCGCCGCACTCGACGGGGAAATCATCGGCGACGTCGCGCCACACCGAGGAATCCAACAACTACTCTCCCAATATCCTCATGGGATCTCTCGTCCGTGAAGAAGGCCACATCTACTCCTTAGCTACATCAGGGGATTTACTCTACACCGGATCCGATTCCAAAAACATCAGAGTCTGGAAAAACCACATCGAATTCTCCAGCTTCAAATCCAACAGCGGACTCGTGAAGGCGATCGTCCTCGCCGGAGACAAAATCTTCACCGGACATCAAGACGGGAAGATCCGAGTCTGGAAAGTCACGGATTCCGCCGCTTTCCGCCGCGTCGGCACGATGCCGAATCTCCGAGATTACCTCAGGAACTCGATCGCGCCTTCCTCTTACTTCAATTTCACGCGGCGGAATCGAACCAGCACCAGCGCGCAAGGGTTCCGGCACCTGGACGCGATCTCGTGCCTCGCGTTGAGCGAGGACAAGAAGCTTTTGTACTCTGGATCTTGGGATAAAACGTTTAAAGTGTGGAGAGTCACGGATCTGAGATGTTTGGAATCGGTGAACGCTCACGAGGACGCTGTAAACGCCGTCGTTTCGGGTTTCGACGGTTTGGTTTTCACCGGGTCTGCAGACGGGACGGTGAAAGTGTGGAGGAGAGAGGATCAAGCCAAGGAGACGAAACATTTCTTCTCCGAGACGCTTTTGAAACAAGACTGCGCCGTTACGGCGATTGCGGTTGATCAAAACGCGGCGTTAGTTTACTGCGGGTCATCTGACGGAACCGTTAACTTTTGGGAACGAGATAACAGTATGAAAAACGGCGGCGTTTTGAAAGGGCATAAACTCGCCGTGCTCTGCCTCGTCGCGGCGGGGAATCTGCTGTTTAGCGGTTCGGCCGATCTCGGGATTCGCGTTTGGAGGAGGCCGGAACGCGGCGGAGCAGGAGGAGGAGGAGTGCACGTGTGTATCTCGGTTTTGACGGGACACGCAGGTCCGGTTAAGTGTTTGGCGGTGGAGAGAGATCAAGAATCGGCTTCCGGTGAGAGACGGTGGATTGTGTATAGTGGGAGTTTAGATAGATCGGTGAAGATGTGGCGTGTTTCGGAGAATTCGCCGCCGATGGAATACCGGTCGCCGGATCCGTCTGGCGGTCCGTCTAGATTAACGGCGGCTCCAAGTTTCTCGGGTCAAGGGAGAATTAGCTCCAGAAGATAGTTGCTTATGTAAATCCTACACCGAATTATTTCAAATGTTTATGTAATTAAATATATATGTAGTTCCGGTTCAACTTAACCGGAATTTTGAGTATATATTCATCAGTTTTGTTGGTATGTTGAGAATTTAACTGCTAGACAATCTAGTCACTTCAGATAGAGTATCACGTAAAAAATGTAGGCACATAAAACATTCACATTCTGAGTTTCAAATGTCACTGAAACCTCTCTTGATTGGAAAATAGGTGCTTGTATGTGTCATCGACATGACAATGAAATTAATTTTGCATGTAAATAGCATTTAGATATACTCGGTTTTATTGGTTCTGATGGTCGGATCTGGAGGCAATGAATTAAAAGTTTGATGGTCGAGGTTATAGTTAGCCCAATTATATAATAAGCCCAAACGACTGTTAGTATAATTTCATTCTTTTTAGGAGATTGGATTTTTCCCAAAAGGATAAGAAAAAATCAATTTGTGAAATAAAATAATTTCGAAGCATGATGTAAAGAGTTGAGACAACGAGTAGATACCAATACAACTATACAAGGCTATTTGATTTTCAAACTTTCTAAACCATAAACCACCACAATATTGTTGTCCTAACTTTCTCTGTTTTTGTAATAATAATTTTAAAAAATTGGAAACATGTTGACCATAACAAAAAATGCTTTTGTTTGTTAAACAACCCAGTTTCAAATTTAACACATAAGGTTGCTTCTCATAGCTTCTTTACCAATCAGAAGAGTTATCTATAAAAACTCTTCTTTGTCAAAGAACATAGAATCGATAGTTAGAAAACCATTTCATGACCATGAACAAAGCTAATTTCTTCGTCCCTTTTTTCATATTGTTCTTCTTTGGATCAAGATTTTCGAAAGTAGCTAGCGCAGGAGACCAAAATGCCTTAGCTGCATCATTTGTCTTCGGTGATTCGCTAGTGGACGCGGGAAATAACAATTACTTGCAAACGTTGTCTAGAGCCAACAGTCCTCCTAATGGCATCGATTTCAAACCATCCCGTGGAAATCCAACCGGCCGGTTTACCAATGGCCGCACCATAGCTGACATCGTTGGTAATTTGATGATAACGTTCCTCCAAAATATAATTGTTTTTTTTAATCTTTATAATGATGCTAATGTTCATTTCAATTTTATTTTGTTATCTCTACAGGAGAAAAGTTAGGACAACCAAACTATGCAGTTCCATATTTGGCACCAAATGCAAAAGGTGAAGCATTATTAAATGGTGTGAATTACGCATCTGGTGGTGGTGGAATTCTCAATTCTACTGGAAGTGTATTTGTAAGTCTTGCAGACGTATATAATGTGTCATATCAGTTTGGTTGGCAGGAAAAGTTAACGTTGAAAATTGTATCAACTATTTTTATAAATATGTATTAAGTTTTGATTTTCCACTTGGAATATCTGATTGAATGTGTACATAGATGTGCAAATAAACTGTTGTATATATCTTACGACTAAAAATTTTTGATTTTGTAGGTGAATCGGCTAGGAATGGATATACAAGTCGATTACTATAGCATTACAAGAAAGCAATTTGATCAGCTTTTGGGTGAAGATAAAGCTCGAGATTACATCAGGAAGAGATCCATCTTCTCTATAGTCATTGGCTCAAATGATTTTCTCAACAACTATCTAGTCCCTTTTGTTGCAGCTCAAGCAAGATTAACACAAACCCCTGAAACTTTTGTTGAGGACATGATAAACCATCTTCGTGATCAACTCAAGGTATACTATAAAGATTATAAAATAATTATTTTTAAAAAAAAGTCTTTGTGGATATTAATTAAGTTATTGTCTTGGGAATGAAATGTTAGAGATTATATGCAATGGACGCTCGTAAATTTGTGGTGGGGAATGTTGCTCCGATCGGGTGTATACCATACCAGAAATCGATCAATCAACTGAAGGATAAACAGTGTGTGGATTTAGCAAACAAATTGGCTCTTCTGTACAATGCTCGTCTCAAAAATCTCTTGTTGGTGGAATTGAAAGATAGTCTTAAAGACGCACACTTTGTGTATGCAAACGTCTACGATCTAGTCATGGACCTCATCGTCAACTACAAAGACTACGGTAAGACTATATATATTTATGGCCCATGGGCTTATAAACATCCAATGACCACTAAAGTGCTGTGTTAAAAAAAAAAAAAAAACAAGTAGTATTCTAGGATTTTCTATCAAATCTATATCATCTAATAATGTATTTTAGTAACAGTTAAAAAACAAATATAAATAACTATGGTAATCTGTATATCAGAATATTTCGAGGGGTGTTTATCTTGAATCTTAGTCTGGTTATTAGGTTCAATTTGGTTAAAAATGTTTTTCTATATAGCAAGCTTGATGAGTATAAGTTGAGTTATGAATTTACTTTGTGAGGAATCTGAGTTTGGTATTTATCATTTCGGTACAATTCAATGTGGTTTGTGGCTGATTTTATTTAATTATGAATATTGTTGTTATGAAATAGGGTTTAGGACGGCGAGTGAGGCGTGTTGTGGGACGGGAGGGAGACTGGCGGGGATATTGCCATGTGGACCAACGTCGAGCCTTTGTACGGACCGGTCAAAGCATGTGTTCTGGGACCCTTACCATCCTAGCGAAGCTGCCAATCTCCTCATTGCTGACAAATTACTCTACGGCGACTCCAAATTCGTTACTCCCTTTAATCTCCTCCACCTTCGTGACCTTTCTTAATCTTTTCTTTTCTCCTCCTCTTTTTTTTTTTTTGGTTTTTATTATTGAAAAAATTGTGATTTCTACACCGAGTTTGTGAGATTCTTTCTTTGTCTTTAATCCTTTTTGTTGCTGTTGTTATAAATAGTTATGTTACCGTTTAAAACGTATATTGTATATTAGTTGATGTTTTGCTGATTTTGAAATTTTAGATATTTGTGTATTTGGAGTTGAATCATATGGTTTAATATCATCTCTGTTCAAGTGCAACCAAATGTAGAGCCAATTGGTTCTTTGGTTTAGTGACTTTTATCATCAGTTTATAATTTGCAAAGACTTTTATTTCTTTGTCTTGGAATCTACAAGTGTCAGATTATATAACTATTACACTCTTCTAGAATCGTTAAAGAACTCTTTCTCCTCGAACTTTAGTCCCTCGCTCTTATCAAACTTCATGAATGAGAGTCTTTTATTTCTTGGATTAGTAATTGTTTAGCGCATACTAATATAGTTATGGCCTTAGACCAGAAATGTGACCTTGTTCCAATTTAATGGAAGAGTGAATCTAAATTGAGCACATACACACCCATAAAAAAAAAAAAAAAAAAAAACTCAGATATTAAAGTAAGAAAGGAACAAAGAAAACATTGAAAAGCGAAAGGGAATAATCAAGCATAATCAGTTGTATACTTGTTATATGTTTGGTAACTGAGTTACAGAAAAAAAAGGAAAAAAAGAAAGCATTGGACCGTTGGGCTAGAGCGATCGCAGATAAACACGGCGTGATCAAGGAAAAGACGAAAGTAACCCTCTTTGATGCATAGAAGAAGACAAAAAACACCCTCTGATCAAAGGTTTGAGAATATCGGAATCAGAAAACAGAGAGAGGATCAAGGAAGAAAAAGACAAGAAGAAGAGTGATGAAACAGAGGAGAGAGAGAGAGGTAAGGAATAAGGATTAGGTGTCAGTAGTTTTGATCTGAAAGGACCGGACCGGACCCGAATAACCGACAACGAAAGGACGGCTGCAAAAAACTAATAGGACACATCGTCCCATATGGCAACACACAAACCATGCCTCTCTCTCTCTCTCTCTCTCTCTCTTTCTAATTTTCATTGTTTTGGGGTGTGACAGCGACGAGAGGGAAGAGAGAGAAGTCGTAGGAATGGATGGTTGGTTCATGTGTGGGTCATATCATCTTCTCCGGCTGCGCGTGCTTATCCACCTCCTTCGACCCGACCCGACAGCTTCACTCTTGTCTCTTTGACCATTTTATTATTAGATTCTCTCTCTCTCTCTCTCTTACTTACCCGTTTTTTTTTGCTACTTATATATACGTATTTGTTAGTTTGTTGTAACTCATTTCCCTTTATATACATGTATGGACCAGACCAGTATGGAAACTTTAGTTCAAAGAAAACGTCGGATTTGTCATTTGTCTTAATCACGTTCTCGTTCTTGTAGGGTATTTTCTTGACGTTTTCTGCACAGTCGTTATTTTAAAAAATAAAATTTAAGGAGTCTGATAATAATAAGAGAATAACAAATAAAATAAGAGTGAACGAGAAATGCGGAGAGAGAGACAGAATGATGGGAAGTGTTGGGGACAAGGCGTGAAGACTTATAATTACACATTTCCTCTGATTGCGGACTCCTCTTCCCAAATCTGATTTCCTTCATCACTTGTAAAAAAAAAAACTTATTGGTATAGTAAAGTAGTAATTTGTGATTTTTTCTTTCCTGTTCTGTATAATTTACAGATAAAATTTGTGTGTTGTATACTAATTTATCCAGATAGATCTACTTTAGATCATATACTCACTTATCAAGTTATCATACTCATAACACGATGTTGTTAATAATTTTAAAGAGACACAATAAAAGAAAACTGAAAACGAGACACATTAAAATGAGACACTTTACCACAAAAATATAAACTACCACAAAAATATAAACTAATGAAGATGATGTTGATTCTTCTTCAAAACAAAAATCTTATTATCATTAATTATTATATATGTATATTATAGTTTCACATTTTCTCTAATAGTTCCACATTAATGACTTCAACAGTTTGAAGTTCGGCGCGGTGTTTTCTTAAAAGAAAAGGTTATGTTTGTTTCGTCCCATGTTTAACTTTGAATCAGATTATCTCCTATGTCTCTTTCTTGCAAATGTTCTGTCTTGATCTTTAGCAAAAAAAAAAAAAACAAGATTGGTCTCGATGTGGATTAGTTATCATTTTATCAAACTCCAATACAAATTGTTAGTCTTATATGGACTACGATAGATTCTGATACGGTTGATAAAATCATTATAATCATTTATAACGTGAATTTGATTAAGTAAGGAGTAGATCATTGTATAGACACATACTAATACACAAATCAAGAAAGCAATGTCCACCGCCATTAATTAGAAAGCCCGCAAAACTTTTCTGTATAAACTTTTGAATAAATAAGCGGCTGTCACCTGTCTATATACTTCGAATAAGATATCTAACAAAAAAAAAAACTGAAAAAGTGTTTTGAAAAAGAAAGAATAATCTCCAAATAAACAAACAGAAGGTTTTCGGTACACTACTATATTGTCTTTTCTTAGACAGCGAAGAATGAAACCAAAGATCATTTTTTTTTACTTTAATTTCAAAAGCTGCGTGTGATCCCACAAAGAACAATAATAAATTTATTTCGTCTCAACATAAAGTAATAGTATAATAAAGGGTTCCCTATAATAAATCCAATTATCCATTTTTCATGTTTAATTTAACGAAGACGATAGAAAAACGTGTCCCCTGTTTCCAACTTTCTGGAAGATGCATTCGATTACTTTTAAATCGCCGAAGAGTTACACTTACGATAAAAAAATACACATATTATTTTTATAGGCTTAAATAAAAAACCATACTATTGAATATTGGTGATATTTACGTATACGTACTATTTTTAAAAAATCCTCTATACATATATATCGTATTTAAGGATGATAATTATATTAAAATAGTATTTGAAGTTAGACAAGCAAGTACAATAATTGGTTTTTTATTATCTATCAAAATTTATTCATAAGGTTCGTAAAAGATTAGACTAAAATATGTATGAGTCATGAATCATGATGTTCTGACGATAATATAGGTAACCAAATTTATTAATCTTAGAAGTCTTTTTTTTTTTTGAGTAATCTTAGAAGATAATTGTAGAATTACTGGAACTGGCCGTACATTGATAAACTCAACAGTCTCCCTTCAGTGTTGCCTAGTGCCTACTGCGACCTACTCCTCTCTCTCTCTCTCTATGCATTATCTCCGTATCATTTTGTTGTTATTCAAATGTAATTGTTTTTCCACAAAAGATAAATTATGTAATTATTATTAGTTTTGACTGCTGTTCACTAATTTAAAACTTTAAACATAAAGGCAACCACATGACTAAATCTTTAACATTATTAGACAAGCAAGTACAATAATTGTTTTTTATTATTTATCAACAATGATTTATAAGGTTGGTAAAGATTAGAGTAGAATATGTATCATGATGTTTTCCCGATAATATAGGTAGCCAAAATTTAGTAATTTTAGAAGTTAAAACCACAACGGTGAATTATTATCTCCTCGCAGTTCTTGAAGAGAAGAAATTTCGTTTTATTTCATTTCATATACTTTCAAATATGTCAATTATGGTGCGACACACTACTCACATAAGTAACAGTGTTTCGAGTTTGGTAAATAGTCAAATATTGCGACGGCCGACGAACATATAAAAACTAGTATAAATTCATGACGGCATTTACGTGTAATTGTTTTTTGTTTTTCTTAAAACAATTTATAGATCTAGTTAAATGTTGTAACTCGAATATATATATATATATATATATAACTAAGGAGCAATTAAAAACAATCAGTTCCTCTCTAATACGATCATTCTATGTATAAAACCCCGCAATTATGTAGACTTAACTAGTTCTATGTATAAAACCCCGCAATTATGTAGACTTAATTATAATCAAAGATATGAGGATTTTGTTTGATATAAATATAATAGTGTTTTTATTCATTTTTCAAACTGGAAAACTTTGAAAGAAGAGCCACCTACGTATGAAGAGTAAAGAGAGCCGACTCATAGTGTTTTAGGGAGGAAACAGAGCCATCACTGTTCACAATAATCCATAGCCGACTCAACAATTCCAAAGAAAAATTAAAAAAAAAACCTTCATAAAAAGACAAATTTTAAAGACAAGAGAGAGAGACTCTGAGGAGAGAGAGAGAGCGTGGCCTCAAATCAACCCAACACCCTCTGTAAAAAAAAGCCTGACTTTCTTCTCCATCCCCATTTCTATCTGCGCATGTTTCCTCTCTCTCTCTCTCTCCTCCATAAAAAAGCAAACAAAGTCTCCAAATCTCACTCCCTCGTATCAAAAAGTTTCAACCTTTAACCCACACAACAACAACAACAAAAAAAAAAGCTTCAACCTTTCTTCATTCCCGCGTCTCCCTCCTTCTCAAAAAACCCCGACTTTTCTTCTTCCCCTCTCCGATTATGCCGACGTCTGACTCCGGCGAATCACGGCGGATACCGATGAGACCTCCCGGCGCAACAACAGGGATTCCACCGTCAACCGAGCAGCAAGAGCAACTCCCTTGTCCTCGCTGTGACTCATCCAACACCAAGTTCTGCTACTACAACAACTACAACTTCTCTCAGCCTCGTCACTTCTGCAAATCCTGTCGCCGTTACTGGACTCAAGGCGGCACTCTCCGCGACGTTCCTATCGGCGGTGGTTCTCGTAAAGGCGCGAAACGCTCCCGCACTTGCTCCTCCTCCACCGCCGCCTCCGCCGTTAACTCCGTCGTCTCCACCTCCACAGGAATCCGCAGCGTTCCGTTTCAGGCGACACCTGTTCTCTTCCCTCAGTCGTCAATCTCTAACGGCGTTAGCCACACCGTAACCGCTCCGCTTGAAAACGACGCAAAGGCGAGCGCTTTGTCTCTCTGCGGCAGTTTCACCTCTCTCTTGAACCAAAACGCCGCCGCAGCAACTACGCATGGATCCGGTTCGGTTATAGGACTCGGCGGGTTCGGAATCGGACTCGGGTCGGGTTTTGATGACGTCAGCTTTGGACTTGGAAGAGCGGTGTGGCCGTTTTCAACCGTGGGTGATGCTCCGACGACGAATGTAGGTGCAGGGAGTAACGGTGGTCATCACGCGGTTCCGATAACCGGCACGTGGCAGTTCGAGGGTTTAGAGAGCAGCAACGCCGGTGGATTCGCCTCCAGTGAGTACTTTGCGTGGCCGGAACTCTCCATCACAACACCAGGGAACTCACTCAAATGAAAAGACTTTTCGTAAAGCTTCCGTCTTTGTCAGAGGGTTTCAATTTCTTTCTCTGTTTCAGTCTCTATTGGCTGTTTTGTGATTTTGTCAATCTTTAGTGGTCTCTTTAGTGTGTCTGGTGTTTTTTAGAACTTGTGTACTGAAACTAGAAAAACAGAGAAAGTTTGTGTTTTTTCGGCTCAAAGATCTTTACTTTCTACTCTGTTATTAGAGCTTTGCACAAGTGATTTGAATTGAAATGAGGATACTTGTTTACAACTTTTAATCTGAACAGACAAGTCTTGTAAAGAATGGATCTTGTTCATTGGATGATGACTTACACAACATATTACTCTTTAACCTATTTAGTTCATCTTGAGCTTGATTTACTTCTGGGTTAGACTGGTCTCCAGAGGAGAAAACTTGTGTGCTATTGTTGTTCACTTCAATCCAGCTCAATCCTGGATCTTTAGTAGAAGCTAATCCCCTAATCTTTCTTCTCATCTCTGCAACATCCTCCCATCTCCCATACACTGCATAAAGATTCGATAGTAGAATGTGTGTTGATGTATCTTCTGGATCAAGTCTCAGGATCTGCTCAGCTGCGTATAGTCCCATCTGCAAATTTCTTGTGTTAACACAGGCGCTTAGCAGAGTTCTCCAGAGTTCTGCTTGATTGTTTTCCGGAAGACACTCCTCTATTAGTTCCAGTGCTTCGTCTAGTAACCCAGCTTTTGATACCAAACTCACCATGCAAGAGTAGTGCTTAAACCCTGCTTTGATGCCTTTTTCCTTCATTTGGTTCCACAGGAACTTACCTTGCCGTGTCGAGCCGCTGTGGCTGCAGGCTACTAATAAAGATAAGTATGTTACTGCATCAGGCGTAAGACCGTTTGCTAATATTTGTTCAAAGACATTCAGAGCCTCTTCTACCATTCCATGCTGACTATAAGCTCCTAGCATTGAGTTCCAACACTTCAAATCTGGATTTGAAACAAGTAAGAATATTGATTCTGCAGTGTCGTATCTGCCGTTTTTGCTGTACATGTCTACGAGGGCTCCACATACCGACATAACACTATCGAATCCTGTCTTCACGGAAAGAGAATGGAACACTTCACCTTGTCTTAGCATTGCAATGTCTGAACATGCTCCTAAGACACTGCTCAGGGAAAAACCATCAGTTCTATTTTTTTCTCTGTACATTTCAATGAAGAATTGGACCGCGCACTCGCTATTTCCCACTCTAGATTGCCCTACAATCATCTCAGTCCACAGAACAATATCCTTTTCTGTGATCGCACCAAATACCTTCTGAGCAGATTCAGCTTCCCCGTTCTTGAAGTACATGGACAAGAGTGTTGTTCCAACAAAAACACTCCTTTCATATCCTAACTTCATTACTTGTCCATGGAGAAGCTTTCCATGAATGAACCTTTCTGGTTCCGCTGTCGTAGATATAACAGCAGAGAAAGTATATTCATCTGGCCGACGTGTTGACCTCCTCTGTAACCTACAATACATAAGAATTGCCTCTTCTCCAAAGCCGTTTTCTGAGCACCCCGATATAATCGAGTTCCATGAAACCAAATTCGGGTTACGGATCCTCCCAAACACATAAAGTGCTTCTTTCATATCCCCACAACTGCAATACATGTCAAGAAGAGCATTTTCTACAGGAAGATCAGCTAAACTATCCGAGACTATTATCCGGGCATGAATCACCTTCCCAAGTGAATAACTTCCCAATTTACTACAAGCATTTAACACCATCGAATACGTGAACTGCGTTGGATCAACACCGGACATCAACATGCTTCTAAAGAGCATAAGCCCTTCTTCTATCTTATCATTTCTCAAGCTCCCAACTATCATTGCGTTCCAAGCCACGGCATCTCCATCATTCACACACTCAAAGATCCTCCTCGCAGAATCCAAGTCCCCGCAACTGGAATACATCCCCAAAACCGATGTCTGGACAACTACATTATCTGAAAATCCAAGCTTTATGACCTGCGAATGCAATGACGATCCCATCAAAACATCCTCAGCCACAGCACATACCTGCACTAAGCTTGTGAAAGTCGAGCTATTGGGCCTCAATGAATCAAATTCCATATGGGTTATGAGACTAAATGCACAACTTGCGTAATCCGGACTCCGAGAATACGCCGAATAAAGCGCATTGTAAGACACTACATTTCTCTGAGGCATTTTGTCGAACACGTTTCGCGCTTGTTCCAGGAAGCCGCACCTCGCGTACATGGAGATGAGATTGTTGTTCGCGTATGGAGATTCAGCCGTTCCGCCGCCGGTGAGGACGAGAGCGTGAAGCTGACGCGCCCGTTTCAGCGCGGTGATCGAAACGCATTTGCGTGTAAGCTCTACTACCGAAGAAGCTATTTTCGTTTAGTGGCGTAAACGCTAGAATGGCTTTCTTCAGGTTCAAAAACGGCGCGTTTTAAGAATACAATAGTCTCTTTTCATAAAGAAAACGACGCCGTTTTGTTCTGACCTCTTCTTATGATAGAAACACTGCGTTTTCGAACATCGCTTTAATAACAAAAACGGCGCTCCCGGCGAGAGAGAACAGTCTCGTCGGAGAAAATGGTTACCGGAGATAGAGCTTCTCGTCTTCATATCTCGATCGATCGTTGTGTCCGGAGCTACTTTGTAAGTGTTCGTGTTCTCCGTTTTTGTTGTGAATTAAAACGCAGCCGCTTAATCGTTCTCGGAAAAATGTAGGAAAGAGAAGTAGATTCTCCGACGAAGGAAACGGAGATAGATCTGCTTCTTTCTCTATCGCAGGTACATGTTTTGTTTGGGTCCTTTACTTTTTATGTCTTCGAAGCTCCGGTCTACTAATAGACGGCACTGAGTTTGATTTTACTCGGAAAAAATGGTATTCCAGGTGCTGAGAGAAGTTCAGTCTTGGACTACCGAAATTGGCCGTGATGTGTCGGCGGTGAGTTCCTTGGTTCGAGTAGTCACCAAATGTTGGTTTTTGCAGCTATTTGATTAGCTTCGTTCAACAGGAATCGGGGCTGCTGGCTGTTGATAATGAGGAGGAAACTGGTGCTGCTTCGTTTGGTCCAGAATCCAAAGAATATCTATACTTAGAAAGAATTGTGGCAGATCTTGTAAGTTCCTCGTTCTTGGTTCACAGAGAAACTTCTCTCTGCAATCTGCAAATGCAATCTGCAAATGGATAGGTTTTTATTTATAGTTCTCTAACGTATAGAAAAATTTGCGCCTTTCATAGTTTAGGTTGTCTATGATATGAATTTGTTTGAGAAAAGCAGCAAACGAATTCAGTGCTTAGCTTAATCTAGTATCTCTTGGTTTTCTCGCAGGTTGGTTTGTTATGTATGAAGAGTGTGCATGTTCAACATTTGGCTGGCAACATTCTCGTGGAAGTATCCGAGTCTCTGGTTGAATCTGTATGTTGCTTCTGCCTCACTCGAGATATTAGAATGTAGTATCTTCAAGATTTTATGCCAACTCATTTACTTTTCCAGGGAAGCCAATGGGATGAATTCATTCACTTGCTTTGTGACTGTTTGCGCTTAGCACTTATCTACAGTTGCCCAATTCATGCTGTGTCTTCTGCATCTGTATATGAGGGTTCGGATTTACATTACCTTGCCTCTGATGTTCTTAAAAGTGAGCTGGAAAAGGCTAACTGGGGCACGGTGTCTGATATCTTTCGAGTTCTTCGTAATATATTGAAGCGCTTGAGCCAAGAAGAAAACGAGGAACTTCTTGATGTATACTTGGAATCTGTCAACTCTACATTTGCGAAAATTCCTTGGTGCCGAGTGGACACTCATCTTTCTAGTAGGCATTGTCATAATGGAAGTCTAGGAAACATTGCAAACAGTGAGGGAGGAACTGCATTTCTTGGGAACTTTGTTCAGTTTCTCTGTTCCGTGGTTCAGCAGGTTGGCTTTGCAGAAGATTCTGATGCTTTTGGACCCACACATTTGATAGTCCAAAAAACCATCGAGCTTGTTCCGGATCTCCTCCGTTGGTGCCAACCAAAGTTAGAAAATCAAAGTGGCACTTCCATGTCAAGATACCTAGTGCACAAGTTGCTGGTACGTTATTTCGTCTGTTCATGAAATTACAAGTTTAGAGGACTGCTTTGCTTTGATTTCTCGATATATCTTTTATAGTGTGTATCCTAAGTTGCTCTCTCTCCCCTTTTGTAGGTTTTGATGATCAGACTTACTTATCAGTCCTCTATAAAATGTACCATTCTTCTTTCATGGCTGCAATATTTGCAACGCCATTTTCAAGGGTTTCTTGAAAACACCCTAACTAGGTTTAGATCCGTCCAAGATAATTGTTTGGAAGGCTCTCCGTTTTTTGTGACTTCGTCTGATTCGAAGGTCAATAAAACCCATTCCGATCATTTGCAAAGGCTTTCTGTGTTTTTGTTCCTGCGGTGCTCCTTCACTTTGCTTTATTCAAGTAGACATACCGACAAAGACTGTGAGTTTGAATGTAGAAAGAAAGGGATGGAAGCAATGTTTAAATGGATTGAACGACAGATTCCAGGCGATACATTTTCTGGTCACAGAACTTATACCAAAAAGAGCGTAGACTTTTCTACATCCTTTGTCCGGCTGTTCATGCATGAGGTTTTAGTGTATCCTTCTGTTATCTGCCATTTGTGTTTGTGGTTTACTTTTAACACCATACACTAAAGTTCTATTTAATTGTAGGATGACCTATTATTTAAAGTCCTCCTGCAATTTCTGTCTGTACCATTGGATGAAGAGCAACTGTAAGTACTAGTAGGGTAAAACACTGCCTTTTTGAGTTAACCAAATGCTGTGAGCTCTCTTATGAGCGTTTTGTTCCTTATAGGTTTATTTGGGAAGGACGTTTTCTTCAAGATGAGGAACAAGCTATACACTTCCGTTTATCAACCTTGTTTGATCCTGTAGTCCTCTTCTGTATATTTCTTTCAGAGGTAATTTTCATAAAACATTCACATAAGGGGGATCTGTTGAGCTATGCTCCATGAAAGCTTGGTTATTTGTTATCATTGTTGCAACTCTTAATGCTACGCACCCTGTTTTCTATTGTCAGCTGCATTATGATCATCAAGTCCTTCTTGATTACCTTATATCTAAAGACATCGGGGCTAGCTGTGCAGAGTACCTGCTAAAGTTAGTCTTTTTCTCCTAAATTATTTTTTATATCAACTGCTCCATCCCGAGTATCAATCCAGATTGTTAGCGTGTACTCTAGTCTTTGACTGCTTTCTCTAGTTAATACCTAATGCATATTCTAAACAAATTCATAATATAGGTTGGTTCCTATTTTAACATTCACTGTATTTTCCTGGTAGGTGCTTGCGCACAGTCTGTGACTCGTGGACCCTGTTTGTGGAATTCCCATTTGAAGGAAATATAAATTATTCATCTTCGAAGAGAAGGAAACTTCTGCTTGAGACTTCTGAGGTTGAAAAAACCCGGAAATTACATCCCCAGGCTTTTGAAAATGCCAAAGACTGTCTGCTTTCTTTACAGAATTCAGTTATGAAGCTACATCAGAAGAAACTATTTCCATACAACCCCGAAGCTCTTCTACGACGGTGAGTCTCTCATCTCTACAATAAACTCACCCTATGCATTTAATCACCTAAATACACTTTTTCTATTTTGAGGCAGTTTGTCAAGGTTTCAAGAGCTCTGTTTACTCCACGAGTAACTTATCTGGACCAAAGGTAAATCAATTGCATACTCGATATGGATAGATTAAAAATGACTCTACTATATGGAAATTCCATTACTCATTTTGTAATATGCATAATAATGTTTTGGCAAAAACTTAGGCTATTATTTATTTAGGAAATCCCTCGATTCTATACAATTCCTCAGGAGATTTCCATTTGTTGTCAAGAAAAATGTGATGGTCCTTCTTAGTTTGTGGGTTGGAGATTAATTAGGAAGTCAGGTTTAACAATTAAGTAACGAACCCTGTCTGTTAGCTGATAGAGAAGTCTTTTAACTTTTCAATTTGGTGCTCCTCAGCTGAGATTCTCTGAGACAGAAGGATTTGATGCCAACACAAAGAAGTCTCCTTTTCAGATGAAATGGAAACTAATTGGCTCACATGTAGAATTATCTGTTAAGTTCGAGAATCTCATGTCTAATCGAATTTTCATGGGTTCTGACACAAGTGAAGCTAACACGAGTTCTGTTTCTGCAGAGAGATCCTACACTCTGGACTGGTGCAGGAGCTAGAATTCAGAGAGCATTATATTCTTGCCTCCACAATCCAAATCTGAAAGGTATAAGATACTCTGGTCAAGCTAGTGTGAAACTGACTTAGTCAATTTAAGTAACGAATGTAATGTAGAATATTAAGAACCACAAAATAGTAAAGCTCTCTTATTCATATCATAAATATAATTGAAGCGTGAGAGATACACACTCGAGAGCTAGCGTAACTTTTGGACAAGTCTATACGCTGTTAATATTACATTTCAGTTGTATCTCGTTGCTATTTCCTGTAACAGTTGAGAAAGTTGTTGAGGCTTAGTGAGCATAGCCATGTGACCAGCTTCTTCAATCACCTTCACTTCGTTAGGCTCGTAGTTACTAATCATCCACTTCTGAATCTCCTCTGGAACCACATTGTCGCCTTCACAGACAATAAACACTCTCTTCCCAGATCCATAACTCTCCTTCGTCAGCAAATCTTCACCTTCCAGTTCCTTTGGGTATAACCAGCTCGGTTTCACCAACGCCATGGCTAATTCTAGATCCTGCAATCAGATATTCCACAACAGTGATCACCTGATCGCGGATTGTGGACGTAACCCAAATCTCTTGATGACATATGTAATCTGCTCATGATTTTAGCTGAAATGTAGACTAATATGCGAAAATAATAATTGTATAAAAAAAACGTCTTTTCTTTTTCTTACTCAAACTCATCAAAAATGGATGTAAAACTCACCTCTAACTGGCAATTACTATATGCCTTCTCCTTCAAGAAACTAGTACCGAACATAACTGAACTTGGCAGTTGTTCTGGTCCTTCCTCGAATGTAAACTGAGAATCCATGGCGAATCCTTCAGGTAATCTCTTAAAATACTGCAGACAAACAGAAAGTGACACGCAATTGTAAGATAAGATATAATATCAAGAATGGGTCCTATTCAAGATAAGAACTTTATGTTATTTTTTTTTCTTAAAATATGAGATATTTCTCCGGCGACCTCTTGAATGAGAACGGACGGAGGAGACTCATGGTGCGGCATATAAGCAGAGAGGAAGATTCCGACAGAGATTTTGGTCGGAAATCTTTCCATGGCGAGAGAGGTTCCAATGCCACCGTAGCTATGACCAACAAGAACCACCTTTTCTTGCTCAGGAAGAGACTCCATGAAACTCATCAAAGGCTCTAGATACTCCGAGACAGAACGAACCTCGTCGAGCCGCCTTGTGTCGATCCCGGACCCACCAAGTTCAACAGCTGTCACGCGGTGACCAACGGCCTTGAGCTTTGCCGCTAGTTTGAACCAGCACCATGCTCCATGACATGATCCGTGGACAAGCACGAAGTGGTGGTGGGGGTGTTGTTGCATGTGCTGTGTTTGCATTTGATATTTTGTTTGGTAAGTGATGTTATCTTTGTATATTCGTGTGCACATATATATAGCCATTCATCGTGAAACGGTTTTATTGCTGGTTTAACCGGTTGGACCGGTTCTAGTTGGGACTTAGTGTTTATATAGTTTAAGATTTCAACAAGGCAAAGAGTAATAAAAGGAAACAAAATTAGAAAAAAAACCCACTTTAAAGTGAAAGTATGACTCTTGGGCGGTTAAAGATAAGCACGTGGAATACACAAAATGCAAGGCATTGTGAAATGATAATGACAAATTTGAAACTGTTCAACCTTTTTTTGTATTTCTCTCTTAAAATATTGTCAATGTCAGATCTATTGTTAATAATGACATCAGTGGGCTATTAGAGAGTTTAAACCTTTTTTGTATTTCTCTCTTAAAATATTGTCAGTGTCAGATCTATTGTTAATAATGACATCAGTAGGCTATTAGAACATCTCCACTGGTGAGATATTTTTAGAGTATCTCATAAATTAATATTAATATTTTATGAATTTTTATTTTGAGATATCCATCATAAAATTTTATCTCTATTGGCAAATATTCATCAAAGTATCTCATTAATATAATATCATTATTTTAAATAAAATTTTATGTAGTAGTATAATTAATCTTTAAAAACTTATGTATATTATCTTAAATTAAAGAATTTACATCAATATAAAATTATTTACACCAATATTGTATTGGTTTTAATATCAGATTTTTCATTTTGAAATCTTATTTTTTTTCTAAAAATCTAAAATTATTGTATTAACTAAAATATTACTAATTTATACTACCTCTGTTTCATTATAGTTGATTTTCTGAATATTTACACACAGATTAAGAAATCTATAAATGCTTAATTATTTACTGTTTATTTTTGTTAATTAAGTTACTTTTACAACTGATTTTATTATTTTTATTATTATTTTTTCTTTTTTAACTGTGCATTAATGGAGTAAAGCAACATGCATTAATATTATTTATTCAATTTAAAGAAAAGACATGCATTAAATGTATGAAATCAAATATTATGAAACAAGAAAAAAAACCTAGAAAATCAACTATAATGAAACAGAGGGAGTATTATATTAATGTTAACTAATATCAATTAAAAATATTTTTAATATAAAAATTAATTTTATTCTTAATTGGAACTTGATAAATAGATAATTTAATTTTATGATTTATAAAAAAGAACTGCATATAAACTATTTCATTAATATTTAAAAATATTGAATATTTGATTTATCACAAAATGCATAAACCATTCAGAAAGTGACATATGTCATATGAGAGGGGTTCTCAAGGAGTTTTCAAAATTTGTCATATGAGAATTGATTCTCAACATTTTTTTTGTTCTCAAAACTATAGTTTATTATTTTTTGTTATTTTTTACAATAAGATACCCATTTAAATATCTTCAATGAGATGTTCTTACGCTTTTAAACTTTTCTGAGTCAAATTTGGTTGTTCAACTAAAAATAATTAGGTGAGCTAGGTCCTCTATTTTGAACTTGCATTGTATTTGTGTGTATGTGTTTATTTTTTTTTATAGAAGGTGTTCTTCCTCTATCTGGTTTGTGTTTTTTTTTTAATATGGTTTTTGGATTTTTTTGCATTGTATTTTTGTGTGTTTATGTTTGGTATTTTGTTTGATAGATTGCCTTTCATTTATGATTTAAATATAAAAGAAATGTTTGATTGATTAGACTTTTACATTTTTCTTTTAAAATAGGTACTGTATGTCTTCAGAGTTTTCAAATTTCCATTCACATTTCCTATTTTAACAATGTAAATATATTTTAATACATTTCTGACTTTAGATATATTTAGCAAAAAAAAAAATCTACTATCTGCATAGAGAATTCACAAAGATAGATTCTATGTGTGATGGTACTCTTCATTTTCACAAAATCCGAAGCTATTTACAATTGTTATTAGTCTCACTTTTTGTTTAGTAGTGTAGTTATATTTTAGGATAACTACACCAATAACCCTGAATATTTTTTTTTACCAGGTAAATCACTAAGCAAAATTTTCCGTTTGGAAAAGAAAACTTTAAAGCGAGTGTATTTCCTTCTGTGTTCTATAAATAACATGTTTTCAGTGAAGTGTTTTGGTATATAAAAAGCGATAGTTATCTACCTAATTAAGTTCCTCAATTTGATAACTAAATTAAAGAGCCTATATTGTATATATCTAAAACAGTATTTTAAAAAGATAGACTGCAAGTTTATTTATAATTGGAAGAAAATCCAACAGTCCAAGTACAAGTTTTTGCCAAATCAAACTCTCAAAAGATAATTACCGCAAAGAGTAAAAGAAGAAGAAAAAAAGCAATCATTCTTTGCGGAAAAGCATAAATGACAACCCTATATTGGAAATTGTCTAAAAGCTTGAAACGCACTAACACAAAGAAACAGAAGGAAAAACAAAGAATTGAAAGAGACAACACCAAATAAATACTTATCTATTAACAGTAACATGTCCCACATATAGAAAGACACTATATCTATCAATGACCCCAGAAGAAGAAGTTTTAAGAGGAAGAGGCAAAATTATAGAACACTATATGATTGGCAAGAGAAGTTAAAACGCTGATCAATTGTGCGATGAACGATTCAAGCATCCTCTTGGTAAAATTCATATCAAAGAAGCTGGACCAGTCAAGCCATACAGCTTGCACGTTGAAGACAAGGTGAACAAATGGAAATGAACAAATATTTAAAACATTGAAAGGATTGTTCAATCAAGGTCCTACTCCTATAGTCATTAATAGAGCCAGATGAACAAGAAAAAAGTCGTTTGCCGCATACTCAAGGACGGAGAAAGTTGTAGGAAAACTAGATAGAAAATATCACTTTCAACAATGAATATCACATGTTTACCTAACATTATTTTTCAGTTTTTTTCTTTCTATAATCAGAATAGTTCGAAATGACCAAACTAATCCAAATTTTATAATAGATTCAAGCAATAAATCTCCCAACACATATTATAAAGATCCCTACATATATAGATAAAAACTATCATTTTTTGTTTAATGTAATAACATACGAAAGTGTAATGTTGTTTTTAGTTACAAGAAAAGAATCAAAGAGTTATCAACGTTGTTTTGGGCCAGTGTTTAAAAGTCTGGGTATATGCCTGTCCGCTCTGGGTTCAATACACGTTGGGATGGATTACTACATTGCTTGGGTTCCCGGAAAGAGGTGGAAAAGCTTTTTTACTTAAAAAAAAAAAATAGAGAACATAATAAAAAAAGAAGATAAAATAATCAAAGAGTTAGAAGCTTCTTCATTGAGATGGATGGTAGATGTGGATGTCAAGTCAATCAATGGTTAAAAATTAAAGAATTCATGGCCAAAATCTCCGTAATGAATACGAAGCTTACGAATATTATTGTCTCAACCAACATATCGTATTATATGTGGTGAGAATGATAACAAGCAGAACATAGTTGTGGAAGCAGAAGATTGATCTTTGGAGACTAAAGATCGATATATATTCACCTTCAATGGCGCAGAAAACATAGTAAAAAAGCGTGAAAATCGATTTGTTATTTTGATGTGGCGTGTGTCCCCTAGCTAGGTCCAAAAATGAGAGGAAAATATCAAATGTGAATATTTGATTGATATTTTTCTGTTGTTTAAAAAAGTTAATAGATCTTAGTGTTAGTATTTACGGAAAATTTTAGTATTCTCGTTTTACGTATAACAAAGCCAGAATTACATATGTATCAAGTCTGATCTGTATAAAGATAAAAGAAAATTGTTACAACTTAATCTTTTTATATACCCTTGCGCAAGTCAATGACTAATATATATAACTAGGGACAAAGTCAATCATTGAGATTGATTCTCTTCTTCTCCGTAATTTAATAATCACAACAACTTGCATATCGATCCAAACATATCCTTTTACCTATAAAATAAGAGAGTGGACCGATCGATACTAAGTCTAAGTCAATGGCTCTTATCTTCTAATGTCTTCACAGAGCTCTTGAAATCCAAAAAACTTGTTTTGTTGAGAAAATATTTTTCCATAGTTCCATGTACATAGATATCTCAATACAAAACATACGCCTCGAGAGAGCTAAAGCTAATCTCAAGAAAAATGCCGATTACTGAGATTATAGCAGGAGCTACTCTTGGACTTGCTCTCCAAGTCCTTCACGAGGCCATCAAAAGAGCAAAAGATAGATCTATAACCACGAGATGCATCTTGGACCGTCTGGACGCTACAATCTTTAGGATCACTCCGTTGGTGGTTCAAGTCGATAAGCTCAGCGAAGAAGTGGAAGATTGTCCAAGAAAAGTCATCGAAGATCTTAAGAATCTTCTTGAAAAGGCTGTTTCTCTTGTCGAGGCTTATGCGGAGCTCCGACGCAGAAACTTACTCAAGAAATCTAGGTTTGTGCGGGAAGGCTGTTAATTTATTATACCTGAAATGCATGAAAGCCTTTTGGTTTATATGAATTCGTCTTAATTAGTTCTTAAATTAATAGTTTAGAAACATATCCTCTTTTTGCTACTATTTGAGATTACATACAAATGGATACCATTATAAACTTAGATTGATAAAGCACGATTACATGATTAATTGTATTTTTGTTAAATTTCATGGTTTTAACTCAAACCTTAATAATAATAATTGGATTGATCCATATCATTTATATTTTAGTCTAGATCTCATATCACTTTGCGATATGGGATTTCTAACATTTATTTATAAAGTATGGATTGATTTCTTAGGGTTTTTGTTTCAGATGTAACTTTGATTTTGTACAAGTGTAATTTATTATAAGAGATTCCCAAGAATGTACATTTGACTCATTCCCAAATCTCATAAGTATACTTTGGCTCATTCCCTAACCTCTCAACATTATATCTAAAACAAACCTATCATTTCTTAAAAAACTAATGTGTGTTTTCTTTTTGTTTTGTTGATCTTTAGGTACAAGAGAAGAATCAAAGAGTTAGAAGCTTCATTAAGATGGATGGTAGAAGTGGATGTTCAAGTCAATCAATGGCTAGATATCAAAGAACTCATGTCCAAGATGTCTGAAATGAACACTAAACTTGACGAAATCACGCGACAACCATCAGGTTTTCCTTGTTTTAAGAAGAATCATAGCATACCACAAAGTACTAATCAAACTATAGTTGAAGAAATAGACCGATCCCCAGAAGAATGTAATGAATGTTTGAGCAATGGATCTAACCCGAAGTTTGATATCCACCTTCGATGGAGTTCAAGAAAACAGAACACAGAACGTGAGATTCGATTCACCTTGAAGTGATGATTCTGTTGGACCAATTTTAATGCAGCTCAATGGCTCATAAACATTTTTATGTGTGAAAAAAATAAAGTTTAGTGGCTCATTAAAAATGTGAGGACATATAAAGTTTGAGAAAAGTTGGAGTGATATAAATATAAATATAGTTATGTCTTTATTCAAAGTGTGTGAAGGAGAACAAATAGACCATACGCGCATTACCGCCAAGCCAAGGTCGGTCTTGGGTCTTGGTGAATGTGGGCTGAAACAGTTTGGTTAACATTTCTGGTCCAAAAATAAGTCAAACATCGTTTCCAAAAATCTTTTCAAGTATCTTGCCTGATTAATGCATCATTTAACGGTCGCAATCGAACCTCTCCACTCTCATTTCAATACATCCTCTATCAATTTTCTTAGAGAAAAAACCTCACACATACCTTCAATCTCTCTCATACTTTGTCTTCTTTTTAAAAGTAAATCCAAAAATATATCATAGAATAAAAATTTCGTTGATTTTATAATCAGGTGCTGCAATTATAGTTTTAAGTGGTGATATCCTGGGATTCGTTATCTCATAAACCACCTCACCGCGGGAAATATTTTAGATTAAGGAAATAGTTCAACTTGCCTCTATTTCATTATTTTTTCCTTAATATTTCATTTACAAACCGTTTTTCTGAAAATATTATCTATTTTTTTTCAATATTTGTCTCTAATTGTTTCTTGATTTACCAATTGTATCCAAGGCAAATAAAGTGAATGATAAATGAGATTTTATGAAATAGAGTTAGTTTAAAATGTGTAGATTCAAATTGGGATCATATAAACAAATAAAATTATCCTTTTTTCCTCAAATCTAATGTCATTTGTATTCTGACCGAAAAAAGGTCATTGTGTAAAATGTGCCAATAGTGATGAAACAAAGAGGAATATATAAAAGATATATTACATATATTATACATAACATATATATGTATGTGAATCCAAAAGTTTGTAGAGGAAAAAACAACAACAAACGGTCCAAAAATGAACATGGGAGAGAGAGGAGCCAAGACAAAACTCCGATGGGTGTCTGAAAAGTACGGGACAAAACAGAGTTTGTCCTGAAATCTCAGAGAGCGTAAACAATCTCTCCGCTACTGTCAACATCAATCTCAGATTCTGAATCAAAGTCATCCATGTCATCGTCAAGGTCGTCAAGATTGTCCGCCATGAAAGCATCGAGGCAACGGTTTCGAACAGCAGGAATCGTAGCCTCTGATATAATCTGCATGATAGTGTCAAGGCTCTGCATCGGCTGCTCTGGCTCTTGAAACTGACTACCCATTCTGTTCTCGTCCATTAGATCACCGGGAAGATTCTTCAAGAACCATTCATGAGATTTTATCTCCGGAATACTGATTCTCTGCCACATTTACTTGGCTATTTAGAACTCAAAAATGCTTTAAAGAAAGAGTTTTTTTGTTTTTTTTCCAAGTGTAGAACTTACTGTTGCAGGATCAGCCACGAAAATCCTTGATATTAGATGTCGACATTCTGGTGAGAGATGCAAGTCCTCAGGGATTGAGTATGTGACACTAAGTATTCTCTGCGTTTAACAAAAGCAAACTCAAACAATCAAAAGTTTGAAAAAGAGGGTTAGTGGAGAACGATGATGAATGAGATAAGCAAGAACATTAAAGAACGTTACTTGTATCGTCTTTCGATAGTCTCTTGGCTCTTCTGGATCCTCAAATGGATACGCTCCAACCAGCATTACGTATAATGTCACACCGCATGACCATACATCTGCAATCTGGGAATTGTAGCAGCCGCGTAGTTCATGAGAACAAACAACTCGAAGAATATTTGAAAGTATAAACAATCATTGATAAAGCTGGTTTAACTCTAGACAGGGAATTAATCTAATGGCTTTACCTTGCCATCATATTCCTGTCGAAGAAGAATCTCTGGTGCAATGTATGCAGGAGTACCAACAGTTGACTTCGGTTGAGAATGAAGAACAGAGGACTGTAGAAAACGAATGCATAGTTAGGACTAAGGACATAGTCAGAAAGTCGAAGGTGAAACAAATGCTTCAAACAAGCTGAATGGAGGCAGTATGGAGCCAACAAATATATTATCCACCACAAAAGAGCCACTGAACATAAAGCGATGAGAAGCTGTATTATCCAGCACAAGATGTTCTCCGTTGTTTTTGCTAAGGGCCATATTGTAACATGTAATGAACAAGGAATTCAGAGAACAAACCTTCACAGAAATAGTACCTTGGAATATCCAAAATCACATATTTTCAAACGAGGGGCAGGACTCCCGTCCAACAATGTATTTTCCAGCTTCAGATCCCGATGGCATATTTGCTTCATAAAGAAACCAACACAGAAATAAATAAGATTCAATGAACTCTCTCAAGGAAACAAACGCAAAAGAGAAAAGTTCAAGTTGCAAGAACACTGCTCTGCTTACCATTGCATGACAATAGCTAACTCCAGATATAAGCTGCTGAAAGAAGAACCGTGCCTGTACATTAAAAAACTCAAAGATCAGTAGACAGTAGCACATCGATTCCTGTGATGCAATACGAATAAATATATTATATCAGAATGCTCACCTCATCTTCACTAAACCGCCCTGCATTACAGATCCTCTCATAAAGTTCTCCACCAGAAGCATATTCCATTACAATAGCCAGATGGCTAGGCGTCAAAATCACCTATAACATTATCAGAAACGCGAAAACTCTGAACCAGACAGAGGTATGTACGTGTGCACACACGAGAGAGAACTACGAAGTTGTTCAAATCTATTTACCTCTTTAAACCTGACAATATTAGGATGCCTCAACGACCTGTGGTTGATGATCTCCCTTTGAACATTTTCATCAATCTGTAACAACAAGATTGAATTTCAACCAAAAAAAAAAAATTAAAAAAATAATAATAGTAAACAGAAGAACCAAATCTCCAATCCAATCAAAGTCTTGTTCACTTAATTTTCTAAGTTCACAACTTAAAAGCATTTATTTGAAAATGAAAACCGTTGAACGAATATGGAAATGTCAAATCTTTACATTTAAAACTCACAGCTTTTAAAGACAATTAAACGCATATACATAAAAGCATTAATCATCGTATAAACCATAAAAAGGAAGCTACTAAATCTGGAAACAAAACCGAAATCATAGGGGATCACAAGCCTAGCTACATACTGTATATAGTATCAATTTTCATTCAAATAAAGAGAAAGGTGAAATATTTCATTAAAACGAGTAAAGGCGATCATAAAAAGCAGACCTTTTCTCCTCTCTCGATGTACTTAACAGCAACAAGCTCCTTGGTAACCTTATCCGTCATGAGACGTGCAACACCGAAATTACCCGACCCAATATCCTTGACGAAGTCGTAACGATCGCTGTCGTGCATAATCGGCAAATCAATCGGCGAAACCGCCGTCATCGCCGCCGGATCCATGTCCAATTTCCTCCCTCTTTTTGTTACCTCTCTCAATCAATCACATCAGGTAGCTAGAATCCGATACCGGAAGCTCAGGAGCCCTAAAGACGAAGAATCTCTCAGTAGGTGGAATCTACAAGGAAAGAGGAAGCTTCGCGTGGAATTTCTCAAACGAGAAAAAATATCTTGCGAAGTTAAAAATTTGGGGAAAAAGATGGAACAACGAATGAGAAAGACAGAGGCAATTATTGGTCGCGCAGAGAGAACTATGAAACGACGGTGTTTTGCTGAGTTTGTGTATACGACAAAAGCCGCCGCGTTTTGATGATTTTGTTGTTGCTTCCTTTAAGTCACCCGGCTTGGCTTCATTGGTTTTTTTGTTGGCTACTTTTTTTTTGTCAAACTACTTTTTTTTTTTAAGAGAAGTTTCTTTGACTGATTTTCCTTTTTATTTTTACTAACCTCTATATTTTTTTGGTCAACGACCCAAACGGCAACATTAATCACTATCTAGTAGGATAAGTAGTAGTTCTAGTGAAAGAAACCTCAACAATAAGAAGTAAATAAGAGCAACCAAAAAAATTTTTTAAAAAGAGAGAATCCCAAGGGCATAGATTATCGAAGAAGATTTATTTGGCTTTCTTGAGACTTTAAAAGAAAAGAGAATGCTCAAGTCAGAAAACTGCGTGTTTTTGTGTTGCTCATTTGTTTATGTGTTTGTGCTTTAGTTTGTTGCACGTTTGAGTGCGTTTTGAGTTTCTTTTGTTATGTGTTGTGTTTTTGTGTTGCTCATTTGTTATGTGTGTGATTTTTCATTTGCCTATTTGTTGTATTGTGTTAGAATATAGTGGTTGCGTGTTGTATGTGTTTTGAGTTTGGGTGCATTTTCTCTTACTGTGATAGTGTGAGTGATATCCAAACAAGCCCAACTACAAGATTACTATGTTCTTGACCTTCATAATTAATGCACCAGCAAGATTGCAACCCCTGTTATTATGACTCTCACCTATAAATATAGACTAGGTGTTTAGTCCGCGCCTTACGCGGACCGAAGAGTTTCATTGAAACGTAAAATTTTATTTTACGTCATAAATCAAAAAAAATTAAATCAACAATTTGATACATACAAAATTAAAATAAAGCTAATCTATGATAATCATTGTTTAACATTAAATACCTTAAAATTAATATTAATAAGTATATAAAATTAATAAACACAAACTAAAATCAAAATTAATATAAATTATTTATCTTTTTCTCTTTTTATCTTTTAATTTTTTTTCTCTATCATTTTCTTCTTTCTTTCTTTTTTTCTGTTTTCTTTTTTGTTTTTTTCCTATTTTTTTCTTCTTTATTTTCTATATATTTTCTTACTTCTTATTTTTCCGGTTTTTCTTTTTCACGTCTTCTTCTTCTTCTCCACATCTTGTTCTTCTTCCTCTCATACATCTTTTGATTTTCTTCTATTCCAGATTTTATTCTCTTTCTTCTTCTTCTTCAATGTTTTATTATTCTCTTTCTTCTTTTTTTTTCTTTTCCTTTTTCATTGCCATCATCTTCTTTGTTGTCACCGACTTCCTATTCTTCTGGTGTTTTCGGCTTTTACTTCATCTTCATATTCTTCTACTTTCTCTAATTCTTCATCTTTTAAAGTATTCATTCAATTTTTTCTCTTTCTTATCTTCTTCTTCTTCTACTTTGTCTTCTATTTTATTTTTTTTCTCCTTCTATGGATTTTTATTCCTCTTCTTCCAATTATCTTCCTCTCTCCAAATTCTTCATCATATTTTAAAGATCTTTGTCTTATCTGTCTTTCTACTCTTCTTCTGGTCTATATTTTTCCTTTCTTAGTTTTTTTTTCCTTGTATTTTTGAGTTTTTCTTCATCGTTATTTGTTTTCAAATTGTTCTTCTTTATTGTCTTCATCATTTTTTTTACTTCTTATTTGTCTTCATTTTTTCATCATATTTACCTTTTTCTAATTTGTCTTCTTCATCTTCTAGTTTTCTTCCTTTTTATTATTTTTTTCTTTCACTCCGTCTACTATCTACTGGTTTTCTTCTATGACTTCTTCTTCTGATTATCTTTTTTCTTCTCCAATTGGTCATTTGAATTTTTTTGTTTATCGTCTTCGACCTATCCGGTTTTTTTTTTATCTTACTTGTTCACTGTATTATTTTTGTTCATATTTTTATTGTTTTCTTATTCTTCTCCTTTTCTTTATTTTTTTAGCTTTTCATATTCTTTGCTTTTTCCTTCTTATCTTTTATTATTTTTGACTATTTCATCTTATGTATTGTATTCATCTTATTTGACTTCTTAATTTTTTTTCATTCGGTTTTTTCTTCGTTTTTTTCTGTTGATTTTCTTTGTTTTATTTGTCTGCCCCATCTTCTTTGTTTTCTTTTATTGTCATTGTATTCTCTAAATTCTTATTCTTCCACATCTTTTATTCTTCTTCTTTTGGTTTTATTAGTCATTTTTATTTTCTGCTTCTTACTTCTTTTTGGTCATTTTTTTTATCCAAAATTTTTTTCTAATTTTTGTTTGTCTTTTTCACATCTTTACTTTCTTCTATTTTTTCTTTTGCATCTTCGGGTTTTCATCTTCTTATACTTTATTTTCTTCATCTACCGTTTTTTTTTCTTCTTTTATTTTGATAATTTGTATGAAAATAACAGTAAAATTGTTATACAAATTATGAATATAAATTAATTAATTAAGGATATTTAAAAAGATTTTATTAAAGAATAAAGAGTAATTAGTCACCTAGATTGAATGAGAGAGCTTATAGCGAAAAAATTACTGTGCATATATTATATATGATATGATTTTAAATATTTTTTTTATTAAATTCCAATTTTTAATATTTGTTTATTTTCTATTTTAAAGATTTTTTGATTAAATTCTGATTTTTAATAATTTTTATTAAATTTTAAATTTTTTTTATTAAATTCCGATTTTAAATAATTTTTATTAGATTTAAATTTAAAAAATATAAAAAGGGGTAAAGAGTAATTAGCCACCCTAAGATTGAATGAGAGAGCTTTGACTCAAATTTTTACTTTGCTTATAATATATATGAATGATATAGGCCTATAGGTCACCTATTAATCATATATATCTTATGCCAGTGAATCAACAAATCACTACTAATGTAATTACACATGCATACGTGCACACAAAAGAAAAAAGAAAAACATCTTCTATTAGAATACTATAGATCACACTTGACTAAACCATGTTGTTTTATGTAAAAGGTTAACATTACCATCAAAACTATTCCCATGATCATTGTTGTAAGCAAGATTCATATCTTTGATGATATCATATCTTTTTTGTTATCGCTCTCTGATTTGTGATTCGTCTGCGTCTCTGGCTTTTGCTGGATTTGAGCGGTATGTGCGGATGCATAACGGTGAGCATCTTCAGGTAATTGTCGTAACTGTTGTGACGTTAAATGGCCCCCATAGTTACCCACAGGCATCATCAAAGGATTGTGATGGTTTTGCTGATACGTAATCGGAGGAGGTGGCTCTAGTGTCGTGACGATATTGTAAGAGGCGAGCTCGTTCTTTGCGACTTGGATTTGGTGCTCAAGGTCTTCAAGCTGACGTTGGAGGTTGTAAATGAGAGGAGTGCAGCCATGGACCGGGTCAAGGAGACGAGCTTGTGCCTCGAAAGCAAGCGAGTTCATGGCATCTTGTCTCTGGTTTGGGTGAATCTCGTTGAGAATTCTAGCCACGTGGCTTGCTCCGAATACCTTGTGGACCGCTGTGTATTTGTCCTGTTGGTTCGCGGGGAAGTAAGGCGCAAACACGCAGGCTTGTATGCATTTTCTCCTTAGGTGCTTGCAAGCCGCGCATGGTGTCGGCATTTTTTCCATGTGAAGAAGATATATATAACAAGATAAGAATCTGCGAAAACAAGACAATGAAACTTATATATTGTGTTTTCGAGTAGAGAAAAAAGAAAAGAAAAATCTGTGCACAAAGAAGATGAAACTATACGTGTTTGTTTTATGGAACTTCTTAAATCAAGCAAATATGGATTGCAAAAATAAATGAACCTAGGAAGTAGGAAAGCTTACGTTCAATGTTATGGAATTAAGGGTAGACATAAAAACCGAAACAACCCGGAAGAAAACCAAAATTCGGTTCTGTTTTAAACCTATATTCCCTAAATTTAAATGAATCCAACCGATGATTCTATATGGAACAGTGAAACAGGAAAAGGAAAAGTAGAGAAAAAATTGTGATTTCTGAACCAGAGTCGGGATAGTGAAATAAGAACTTTTCGGTTCAGAGAGGTCGTGGTTCAGTTATGAAATAGTGAAAACCTAACAACAACAAAAATCGTGATCTGTAAATAATAATGATATAAATTAGCCAATAAGAATATGGAGACGGCGTTATCAGCTCATATATATGTATGAAAACAAAACCTAAAGCATAAGAAGATGAATTTTATAAGCGAAAATCATCAGATTTCTAGAACAAGTTTTATTACAAGTTTTATTGAGAAAGAGAATGAAGTTTTAATGCAAGAAGGTATGTTCATAAAGATTAAACGGGTAATTTTTACAAGAAACTAAAAGGAAAAATCAAAATAGTTTTTTTAGCCTTACTAAAATTCTTTCTTGGCTTTTTACTGCAAGTTTGCTTCGCGGAGGATGAACAACCGAGTAATCCTATTTGACTTGGTCAAAATTTTCGCAGGAAAAATTATCTATATGACAAAAAAATCCAAATTCACAGATTATTTGGACAATATAAATTTTGATTTGTTGATATACAAAAAAAAAAGCATTAAAAATTACACGCTAATTATTTTAAAATAGGTCGGTAAATTTAAAAATATACATAAACTTGAATGCATAATTATCTTAAAAAAGAAAATTTATTTTATTTATCTAATAAATCTTGATTTGTTGAGTCGATAGCTTAAACACGATAATCGAACGGGAAAACTCGGATTATAAGACTCGGTTATCAAATTTTAACTTATTGTCATTGTAAAGATGGGCTCAAGTTTTAAGCCCAGGATAGTTTTTCAAATAGCTAACTTGGGCCCAATAATCTGAAGTTATTTTATCGTATTCGAATGGTATTCGTCTCCGGAGCCATTTCTCGTCGCCGGATCTAAGCCAGTCATTGACCAATTTCAGCAATCTCCCATGGCGGAATCAAGTTTCGAGTATGCTTCTTCGTGCTTCTCGTTCTCTATACCTCTGATCTTTTAGTCTTAATTTTCTTATTCTATATTAATGCCGTAACATTTTAGCCATCAATTTATCAGCGCACTGTTCTCCAATCGATATGTGTACTATTTTGATCTGATCGTCTAATGTTGGGTTTCTCGTAGTTCCGTAGATCGCGATTATGCTGAAATTGTTGTTGTTCGTCATGGAGAAACATCTTGGAATGCGGAGAGAAAGATCCAGGTAATTTTCTTACATTCAACTGCGTAATAATGGTTTTGTAGCTGTATCTTTGGCATCGAACTTGACCTAATCCCCAAAAAGAAATCTTCATGTTAATATTTCGATATCTTCATCTTGTATCAGCTAGTCCCGTAATTCTCGCTGTGAATCTGTATATTTTTTTTTCTCGGATTATATGTAGAAATATGGTAAAAAAAAACTTTTTTTTGTTGCAGGGTCATTTGGATGTTGAGCTAAACGATGCAGGAAGACAACAAGCAGAAAGAGTATGTGTTTTCACCTTTTAACATTTGTGTTTTGATTCTTGCTTGAACCTTGAATGAAGATGATGATGATGATGATTGATGGCTTTAAATCTTTTTAATTTCCATTTGAAAAAAAGGTAGCTGAGAGGTTATCAAAGGAGCCTAAGATATCTCATGTCTACTCATCTGACTTGAAGAGAGCCTTTGAGACTGCACAGATAATTGCAGCTAAATGCGGCAAGCTTGAGGTATTAACCAAAATTCCAATTTTAAGTACATGTATAAGCTATGTGCTACTAAAAGTCTCCACCTTTGTGACCTTTTTGGTAGTTTAGGTTGTTAGCAGATGGATCTAAGTTCTAAGAGTAACTTCTTTTATCTACCATTTTGAAGCTGAATCTAGACACACCATAGATGTTCAACTGTGTGTAATGTTGTGCAGGTACTTACTGATCGTGATTTGAGGGAAAGACATTTAGGTGACATGCAAGGTCTTGTGTATCATGAAGCTTCAAAAATGCGCCCGGAAGCTTACAAGGCCTTCTCATCTAACCGCACAGACGTTGATATCCCAGTATGATAATAATTCCACCAAGAAAAGCTTTAGTATATGAATGATGATGCTTGGTTTCTTGAATTACTGCTCGTTTATATGAATGAAGGGTGGAGGAGAAAGTCTTGACAAACTCTATGATCGATGTACATCTGCATTGCAGAGAATCGGCGACAAACATCAAGGTTTGTTTCTTTCTCACAAGTAATATGTTCGTCAATCAAAGTATTGTGTGTTTTGACTTGCTTGTGGTGATGATGAAGGTGAAAGAGTAGTAGTGGTGACACATGGAGGTGTAATTCGATCTCTCTACGAAAGAGCTTGTCCAAGTGCAGGGAAAGTTGAAAAGATTCTTAATACATCGGTTAATGTGTTCCGTTTATTCGACGGAGACAAATGGACAATCCAAGTTTGGGGCGATGTGACTCATTTGGACCAAACCGGTTTCTTACAATCCGGTTTTGGTGGTGACAGAACCTCTGGTTAGATTCTCAATACTCTTCCCACTGAGGTTTTCTGTAATTTAAATTTAACCCCATAACTTTGAGGTGAATCCTAAGTTGGGTCCTGGTAGCCAGTAATTGAGAGGATTGATTTGCTGTAAGTTACAAATATTTTTTCGTACAGTCAAAGGATAGATGGTCCACTAATTAATAATTAATCACATTGATTCTCACGCCTCTGCTAAACTTTTTAAAAATCATCATTTTCTAGTAAAGAAACCAAATTTAGTTTTCAATAATACGTCGTCTGATCAATTTGGACTTTTGAGTTTTGACCATTAATATATAAATATAGTTAACTGATTAGTTGGCTGTAAGCCGAATTAATTTTTGATGCCATAACTAAATGACTTACTGATCTGCTGAAATTATTATTATTGGTAATTTTTTGCAACAGAGCGCAATAGAGCTGACGATGAAATAATATTTTTAAAAAATATATATATATGTGACATTGAACACTGAAAATAATCAATGTTGGAAATGAAATAAGATTCTGGAGGGGGACCAAATCGTGGTGTCCCAAATAATCTCTATTTAAGATACAAGTGTTGGAGTTTGAGAATAGAAACATTGAACAATGAAGTGTTTAGTAACTTGACTGAACTCTTAAACTAAAACTAGCTACCCTTCGATGTAACATTGGGATCATAAAAAAATTTCTTCTTCTTGTATTTACGGAATTACCCCCCTGAGTCACCTTTAATTTTGCCGCCATCGCTATCAAAAAGGAAAAGAGAGAAAGGTACGTTGAGTCCATTTGACCATTGGCCCCAGAGCTCTCTCTGATTTTGGCGGCAATGGGTAAGGGTAAAATTGGCAAAAATATAAATAGGTGAACAGAGTAGAGATGTGTTATTTTCCTAATCTCCATGATTGTCATCATTATGAATTTATGAGTATGGTGTTGTTGCTTTCTTTCTTCGGATTTTTTTTTCACTGACTGATATTTTCTTTTTTCTTACACTGAAGTCTATATATGGTGATAAAATAAAAATTGCGTCTGATACAAATTATTCACTAGTTCTGAGAAGATTATATTATGTAAGTTCAACCATGCATGTTGTCATCAAATAATCACGTTTGAGAATATAAATGTTGTAGCTCAAGATTGTGATACAAAAGAAAATCCCTTTTTATAATTATTATTGAAAATTAAAAGACCAAAAAACAGAAGGAGAAAAATGTAAGAGTAGAGCGGAATCGTGGAAGAGGAGAATAAAAAGGGTGGCCATATTTTATCATTGCGGTGCACCATGCGATAAAATCATAATCTATGTATATCACTTTACATATAATTTTCCTACACCATATATCATAAGATTTTCGAAGTTGACTTTGGAATCTTTAGTGGAATAACGACTAGATTTATTTTATTATCCCGTATTTTAATGAGGAGGCACAAAATTAAATAAAGGCTAAAAGTCCATTCATATTCTTGGATCTTGTTGTAATAGTTTTTTTCTTTTATTCTCTGATATTATTATGAACGATTTCTAATTAAAGAAAAAATGACAAGGTTCATGGGATGTTTAACCTTGTGCCGCTAGTTAGTCACCTTGACAATGTGATCTGCTCACGTATTTTACACACAATTATCATTTGATCCTAAATTTTGGTTTACGATTTCTGATTTTTTATCACATATACAGTATATTGATCCTATAATGTTATTAATCACAACTTCTAGATATACACTGAAATACTATATATACATATATATATATATACACTTTCTCCCTAAATAAAAAACAAGCACACCATCTTAATTAGTTACTCGGGAAAACTTATAAAATATATATAAACTCAAAGAGTTATTTTTTGTCGCATCTGTGTTATTATCATTTATAAATTGTAATTCTATTTTTAGTGGACATACAGTACGTATTTGAAAACGTAAACGAAATATTAAGTAGCTCAAACGCAAACGGCAAACCAATACCAATCAAATCATGATTACGAATCTATAAATACTGAAATAATCACTTTTTCTTTGAACTGTTTGGCAGTTTAGTAAGGGTTTCAGACTTTCAGTTGGATGGAAGAGAAATAGAAAGAAGATATACCCAAAACTGGTTACAAAATGATGTTAATTTTAATAGGGGACAACGAATTTGTCAAACATACCTATCGTACAGGGATACATAATGAATATGTTTACCACTACGTGTGCATGCATTTGAAATTCTAATAATACGATTATAAGTGGGTAAAATTATAGCTAGCTGCAAAATTTGAATTGGCTTCTCAAGATGTCGGGTGCAACAAGTAACTAAGCAAAGCTCATATTTCATCATGACTGATCTCATACGAACAAATATATATATATATATAACATAATCATTATTAGTTTTGCAGTCTCACGTTGTATTGTCTAAGTTTAAAACATTAATTAATTACATGAAACCTCAAACATTTGAATCAAATTTTTCCGCCTATAACGTAGCTGAGATTTGTTTAAATTGTCAAAATCTACACGTAGTAGTAGTTATAAATATTTTAGTTTGTGTTCTACGTGAAAAAGGTCGTTGACCAATGACCATAACGAAATTGGATTGCAATGACGATTAATACCATTGCGAGGACAAATATTAGAGAAGCCAGCTTTTTGTATCGATGGATCATGGAAGCATCGAATAGAGTCCCCACCACACACAAAATCCAAATGGCAATAGCGTTAATTAAGGAAGGAACAAACCTACTTCTATATATATTCACTATTTGCTACTATTAAAAGTTTTAATTATTTATTATTGTTATTTAACGAGCTGGACCACCACACTCCTTCATACTGGGTCCCACTTTACCCACCAGTCCACCACCTCCCTCTATTCCTCCTTACGTCGATCTCCGATTATTATTACATCACATTTTCCTACAGCCTCTCTTCTAATTTTGGTATGTTTACTCAAATTAAACAATTATAACTAGAAATTAACTTGCGCTATGTAACACTGAGGAAATGTTCTTCAGCTTCAATTAGGTGAAATTGTTTTGAAAATTTATTATTGGTATAAATTTTATAGATTATTGTGTATATTATTATTTTTGGTTTAATTTCAAAAATTTATTAAACCGTTAGATATTACTGATTTTATCTGATTTTTAAAAACATATAATTATTAATTATTATGTGTCAAACATTATTAAAATATGTTTATTATTTGCGAAACTCAAAACATATTTTATAAATTAAGAGTTGAACATTTTTGGATAAAAGGAAGGAAATAAATTTGATTAATAGTAAAAATAAATTTCAATGAAAACTTTAAGAAAAAATAGTGTCTAAACAATCGAAAACAAAAGAAATTTTATTTCATTATGACTTTCTTTTTTACAATTTCTTAATCATAAATCAAATTCTTATTTGGAGTTTATTTTGATTTGTTTACAGATTTCTATTTTCCTAGCAAATCATCTTTTTCTATATTGCTGTAATATTATTTTTCAATAAGTTTTCAATAAAAAACACTATATGATGATATACAGCTTAGAAACCGAAACTAGAACTAGGGTGCAAAGTTTTTTCTTAAGATAAAATAATTATAATTTTAGAAATTTCGATTGACTTCTTTGAGATTTCTGAACCAATGATAAATTTCTGACAAATCATTCACTGATACTGTTTTACAAAAAGTGTGGCTTTATAAATTTTGTTTTAAATAGACTTCCTACTTTACCTTTTATTAAATATTAAAAAACTTTAAATATAAACAATTCTTTTTGTATTTAAATAGCGAGAATACAATGGTTGGACTGTAATCTTATAGGAAGTGTCTATACTGTAGAACTAGAGTCTCTATACATTGTCTTACAAAATAATCATAAGGTCTCAATAGTATCGACAAAACAAAATTTATTGGAAAATGTCGTATAATGGTTTGTTTTAATAATTTCGTATCATAATCGAGTTCAAATTCGATAATCTACGTATAAGAATTATAGTTAACAAAAAACTGATACCATCAAAAAACATTTAAACTAGTTAGTATATCGATTTTTATTTTTATTTTAAGATAGATGAGTGATAATTTTCATCTAGTTTTTTTTTTTCTTCTCACATTTTGTTGTGTGTGTTTTTGCTAAAGGCATGTGTTACCTTTTGATATACACACAATGAAAAGTTTCATTTTTGTTTAATGGAAATACAAAATTATGAATACTAATCAAAATATGAATAGTTGGGTTACTATTAGCGGCCTTACCAAAAAAGGTTATCCGAATTGAAATCTTGTGCACATTCAAGAGTTGGCAGGATTTTAAATGCATCTGTATATCTTTAATAATACGATACCCCTGTCGATGTCTATTAAATTGTCCAATTATTCTCTTCTCAAATAACTTATTCAAATAAACTATAATTAATGAAGTTAGTTAGACTTTATTTTCTTGACTGAGATAATACCAAAATTCATATTCATTACAAAGTACATAAAATCATTATACATCGCCATAAGATTATTTATGTCCCTCGGCTTTATAAGTCTGGGCGTTATCGAATTTTCCGTCTCTTCCAGATGTCTTCCCGAGTATCTCTATTTATCAAAATATGAGTTTTCTCTTTTGGAAAACAAAAGAGCAAGACATGACAAATCCTCAAAATGATGTATATCCTTGGATCCTATGGTTTATTTGGAAAGCAAAGAACGAGAAAATCTTCAACGGGAAAGAAATTTCCCCGGAAAACATCTTGATCCACGCGAAGGTGGAAGCAGAAAGTTAGAGATTAGCAAACCAAGCTGAAGACGATGATGATGCTCACGTTGAGGCGTTGGCCCCCCTCCGGTCCCGATATCACTACCCGAGGTACCGCAGACCCCGATATGCTGGATTGATGCTTCTTGGATCAATCACGGACAGATTAGCGGTCTTGGTTGGAGTTTTAAGGATGGCAGAAGAACAGAGATTTTTGGTCTACAGAGATGTCGTAGAAGCCTCTCGGCTCTTCACGCCGAGATGGATTGCCTCTTATGGGCTATGTCATGCTTGAGAGAAAGACAAATGACGTCGGTGCATTTTCAGACTGACTGCTCAGATCTTGTGAGCATGTGTGAATCACCAGCAGACTGGCCATTCTTTAGGACAGAATTGGAATCCTCTCGTATACTTCGCGAGAGCTTCTCAGAGTTTACCTTATCCTATATTCCGAGAATTTAAAATGTCCGGGCGGATAGTCTTGCAAAAGGAGCTCGAGCGAGAAAAGTTATTTTTTTCCAAATCGATCATAACGAGCCGGTCGAAGATAGATTGTAATAGTTGGATAGCGGAAAAAAAAAATTATTCATACTCCGTTTAAAAAAGGGAAATTTTTCACTGAATCCTCTCCTATTTTTTAGCTTGGTCTTTGTCTTTTTATATACACGAATTTATTATGTCACCAAGAAAAAAGATAAATAAATTTGTTAATACAACAACTACTTACGATGTATTCACTTGTACCGTAAGCTGCGTAACAAATTAAGTAATTAGGAGTAATTAGTTTACCGATTTAAAACACTAGTTAATTCTTGACCCAAAAAAAAAACACTAGTTAATTGTAATTAGTAGTTGTTCAATGTAATTTCTTTTAAAAAGCGAACGTATCGTCGTTTCTCTCTTAAACTCATTCTCTTGGATCCAAATCTTTCGCCATCGACAAAGGAGACAATTCCAAAGAAGAAGAAGCAAAAGAAAAGAAAAAAAATTTCAGTTCCCCAAATTATAAAATCGGGAGGAGAGAACAAAAAAAATCTCCGTTTTTCGTTTGCAAGATTTGAAAATTTTGAAAAGTTTTTTGCTTTTATTTCTGGACTTGTTTTGTCTTTCTCTGAGCTGTTTGATTTCGAAATGGTGCTCTTGAGATTTTGATCTGTGTGATGCGAGAGGTTCTTGATGGGTCTCTGTACTTCGAAATCTCACCCTAGTCCGAATTCTCCAAATTCCGACCGAATTCCGGCCGGGAATAGTCCTCTTCCGGCGTCAGAATCCGTCAAGCCTCCTCCTTCTTCAAGCTCCTCCGTCAATGGAGCAAACCCTGACGGCGACGGCGATCAGTGTGTAGCAAACAATGAAGGGAAAAAGTCGCCGTTTTTCCCCTTTTACAGTCCGAGTCCTGCTCACTACTTCTTCTCCAAGAAGACTCCGGCGAGATCTCCGGCGACTAATAACGCCAGCGGAAACTCTACGCCGAAGCGATTCTTCAAACGGCCGTTTCCTCCTCCGTCTCCGGCTAAACACATCAGAGCTGTCCTCGCGAGACGGCACGGCTCCGTGAAGCCGAATTCGGCGGCGATTCCTGAAGGTAGCGAAGCGGAAGGAGGCGGAGTGGGTTTGGATAAAAGCTTCGGATTCTCAAAGAGTTTCTCGAGCAAGTACGAGCTCGGTGATGAAGTTGGTCGTGGCCATTTTGGATACACTTGTGCTGCTAAGTTTAAGAAGGGTGATAACAAAGGACAACAAGTCGCTGTTAAGGTTATTCCCAAAGCAAAGGTTAGTACTTTTTGATTGTCTCTTTTCGGTTTGTGGTGACGAGATCTGATGATGCTTGCGGAATTGTTCAATGTGATTCGTCCTGCAAAGCTTTTCAATTTCATTTTGGTGTGAGATTTAATGTTTGGATTGATTTTTTTTTTTTTTGTGATTTGTTGTGTAGATGACGACGGCTATTGCCATTGAAGATGTGAGGAGGGAAGTGAAGATATTGAGAGCTTTGTCTGGTCATAATAACCTTCCTCATTTCTATGATGCATACGAGGATCATGATAATGTCTATATAGTGATGGAGTAAGCTTTTTTTCTGCTCAGACTTTATTCCAAATTCAGCATTGGAGAGTCTTAACAAGTGTGTTGTTTTATGTTTGTTGTTTTTTAGGCTATGTGAAGGAGGAGAGCTTTTGGATAGAATACTCTCAAGGTAAAGGGAGACTACACTTTAGAAGTAGGATTGTTTGTTCTCGTGGATCGTTTTTTTATTGAACTCGATGGTGTTTTATGTGCAGAGGTGGGAAGTACACGGAGGAGGATGCAAAGACTGTTATGATTCAAATATTGAATGTGGTTGCCTTTTGTCATCTCCAAGGTGTTGTACACCGAGATCTCAAACCCGAGGTGATAAAAAAAAAACTCTTTACTTCTACTTATACATTTCATGTTCATCACGATCCTATTGAAGTTGACTTTAAACACTCTTCTTGATCAGAATTTCCTTTTCACCTCAAAAGAAGACACCTCTCAATTGAAGGCAATAGATTTCGGTTTGTCAGATTACGTGAGACCAGGTAAAGCCCTCAGATTATACACCATATGTATATTTATATTCAAGAATCAAGACACCAACATTTATTTATATACTTTTACAACTCCATTTGCAGATGAGAGGCTCAATGATATTGTTGGCAGTGCATACTATGTAGCACCTGAAGTTCTACACAGGTCTTACAGTACAGAAGCCGATATTTGGAGTGTTGGTGTGATTGTTTATATTCTACTGTGTGGAAGCAGACCGTTTTGGGCTAGAACGGAATCAGGAATCTTTCGTGCTGTTCTAAAAGCAGATCCGAGTTTTGACGACCCTCCATGGCCTTTGTTATCTTCAGAGGCGAGAGATTTCGTGAAGCGGCTGCTAAACAAAGACCCGCGTAAAAGATTAACAGCTGCTCAAGCATTAAGTAAGTGCTTAGAAAGCATACACATTTGTTTGAATGTGAAAAAAGTTGTAATCTTTTTCCATTGTTTCACAGGTCATCCATGGATAAAGGATTCAAATGACGCCAAGGTTCCATTGGATATTCTGGTTTTCAAACTTATGAGAGCTTATTTACGATCATCGTCTCTCCGTAAAGCTGCATTAAGAGTGAGTGGATCAGTTCTTTCTTTGTCAGTATTTCTTACTGAAATGGGCACTTCTTGGTTTTGCTTACCATTCACCATTTTCTTGCAGGCCTTGTCAAAAACACTCACGGTTGATGAACTGTTTTATCTAAGGGAGCAGTTTGCTTTACTAGAACCTAGCAAGAACGGAACGATAAGCCTAGAAAACATCAAATCGGTAAGTGTTTTCTACTTCTTCCGTCTTATTTTTAGTTTATTTTCTTGTATGCTTTGGGTTATTTATCATGACACTGCCTCGAACGCTCTCTTTGTTATAGGCTCTGATGAAAATGGCTACAGACGCGATGAAGGATTCACGTATACCTGAATTCTTAGCACAAGTAAGAGCCTTAAAAACTGAACAACTTAATGTTTGAATAGCACAATTTTGACTTGAAAAATTGCATCTTTTTTGGACTATCTATAGCTGAGTGCTCTTCAATATAGAAGAATGGACTTTGAAGAGTTTTGTGCAGCAGCATTGAGTGTTCACCAGCTAGAAGCTCTTGACCGATGGGAACAACACGCTCGTTGTGCTTATGAGCTTTTCGAAAAGGAAGGAAACAGACCCATCATGATCGATGAACTCGCTTCGGTCTGTGCTTTTTATTAACTCAAATGTAGAAGAAATCTCTGTGTTTTTGAAAAATAGCTCTAATTAACTAACTCATCGGTTAAACTTATATGTTTCAGGAACTTGGTCTTGGTCCATCTGTACCGGTTCATGCAGTGCTTCACGATTGGCTTAGGCATACCGATGGGAAGCTTAGTTTTCTGGGGTTTGTGAAGTTGTTACATGGTGTGTCTAGCCGCACTATTAAAGCTCATTAGAAGGGTTTTAGACTTTTAGAGAGATTTGTCTGAGATCTCTTCTCTCCCAAGAGCTTTGGATCTTTTGGGTTTATAGTATGGCTTTGGCTTTTGTAATGAAAGCTGAGAAGAAAAAAGCAAAACAAAAAAAAGAGTGTAGCCAAAAAGAGAAGTTTGTGTGTGTTAGTTTGTAGAGGATGAGGGTATTTTCCAAATTTGATCGCCAGACAAGGGC